AAAGGAAACAATCAGCAAAACTAAAAGGCAACCGACAGAATGGGAGAAGATATTTGCAAATGACATATCAGATAAAGGGTTAGCATCCAAAATCTATAAAGAACTTATCAAACTCAAGACCCAAAAAACAAATAACCCAGTGAAGAAATGGGCAAAAGACATGAATAGACACTTCTCCAACAAAAACCTCCAGATGGCCAACCGACACATGAAAAAATGCTCAACATCACTCCTCATCAGGGAAATACAAATCAAAACCACAATGAGATAACACCTTACACCTGTCAGAATGGCTAACATGAACAATTCAGGCAACAACAGATGTTGGCGAGGATGCGGACAAAGAGGATCTCTTTTGCACTGTTGGTGGGAATGCAAGCTGGTGCAGCCACTCTGGAAAACAGTATGGAAGTTCCTCAAAAAACTAAAAATAGAACTACCCTACGAACCAGCAATTGCACTAGTAAGCATTTATCCAAGGGATACAGGTGTGCTGTTTCGAAGGGACACAGGAACCCCAATGTTCATAGCAGCACTATCAACAATAGCCAATGTATGGAAAGAGCCCAAATGTCCATCAATGGATGAATGGATAAAGAAGAAGTGGTATATATACACAATGGATTATTACTCAGCAATCAAAAAGAATGAAATCTTGCCATTTGCAACCACGTGGATGGAACTGGAGGGTATTACGCTAAGTATTAGTCAGAGAAAGACAAAAATCATATGACTTCACTCATATGAGGACTTTAAGAGACAAAGCAGATGAACATAAGGGAAAGGAAACAAAAATAATATAAAAACAGGGAGGGGGACAAAACAGAAGAGACTCATAAATATGGAGAATAAACAGAGGGTTACTGGAGGTGTTGTGGGAGGGGGGATGGGCTAAATGGGTAAAGGGCACTAAGGAATCTACTGCTGAAATCATTGTTGCACTATATGCTAACTAATTTGGGTGTAAATTAAAAAAAATAAAATAAAATAATTCTAATTAGACCAAAATTTTTTCATCATTTTACTAATTTTTAATTTTTATAATGTTATACCTCTAAATGCTCACCAAAAAAACAGAAATTGTAATGCCAAAAATATGGGAAAAATTATGTAATCCAGTACCCAGAGTTTTGGGAGAGCTCCAAGATTACCTACAGATCACATATTCACCCAATGGACCCACAGGACTCAGAAGTCATTACACTCACCAGTCCTTACATTCGTAGTTACAATGTATCACAGTGAAATGACATAAAGTAAAATCAGCAAAGGGCAAAGGCACATGGAGTAAAGTCCAGAGGAAACCAGGTATAAGCTGTCAAGAGTCATCTATCAATGGAGTCCACACAGGATGCGCTAATTCCTCCAGCAACAAGCTGTGACATGTATGACACTTTCTCTACCAGGAAAGTTCATTTAAACTCAGCACCCAAGGCTTTTATTGGCACCTGATCACATAGGCACTCCCTGCCTAGCACATACCAAAATTCGAGATTCCCAGAAGGAAAGCAGGTGTTCAGCATAAATCATATTGTGAACACAAATGCATAGCAAACCACCCTTATAATTTAGGGAAAGTTTTATTTAAGTGTGGGGAACTGCTTATCACCCATGTTCCAGAGGTTGAAGAGGCAACCTTGCAAGTGGCCTTTCTTTTTCTTTTTTTAAATTATTCTCAAGCTAGTTGTATACAGTGTGGTCTTGGCTTCAGGGTGGATTCCAGTGATTCATCGCTTACATATAACACCCAGTGCTCATCCCAACAAGTGCCCTCCTTAATACCCATCACCCATTTTCCCCATCCCCATTAACCCTCAATTTGTTCTCTGTATTTAAGAGTCTCTTATGGTTTCCTCCCTCTCTGTTTTTATCTTATTTTTCCTTCCCTTCCCATATGATCATCTGGTAAGTTTCTCAAATTTCACTTATGAGTGAAATCATACATTATCTCTTTCTCTGACTGACTTATTTCGCTTAGCATAATACACTCTAGTTCCAACCGTGTTGTTGCAAATGGCAAGATTTCTTTCTTTTTCATTGCTAAGTAGTATTCCATTGTATATATATACCACATCTCCTTTATCCATTCATCAGTTGATGAACACTTAGGCTCCATAGTTAATATCATCCTCAATTGGGAAAAATTGAGAGCTTTCCCCTGAGATCAGGAGCATGAGAAGAATGTCCATTCTCACCACTGTTGTTCAACATAGTATTAGAAGTCCTAGCCTCAGCAATCAGACAATAAAACAAAATAAAAGGCATCCAAACTGGCAAAGAAGAAATCAACCTTTCACTCTTCACAAATGACATTAAATTCTACATGGTAAACCCAAAAGACTCCACCAAAAAACTGCTAGAGTTAATACAGGAATTGAGCAAAGTTGCAGGATATAAAATCAATGCACAGAAATCGGTCGCATTTCTATACACCAATAATGAAACAACAGAAAGAGATATCAGGGAATCGATCCCATTTACAATTACATCAAAAACCATTAAATACCTAGGAGTAAATGTAACCAAAGAAGTAAAAGATCTATATGCTGAAAACTATAGAAAGCTTATGAAAGAAACTGAGGAAGATGTAAGTAGGCCTTTCTAACAAGAGCAGTTTCAGGCTTGCTATATTAACTCTTTCCTGAGCACAGGGTATTAAGTTTAAGTAAGTCAATGGCGTCTTCTCATCAGCTAGCTATTCTTCCAATGTGAAAATACTGGCAATGGCTTCCTGGAATACCCTCAAAGCCCCCAGAATTCTATTTTAATAAAACACTTTAGCCCAAACTGGAAATACCAAAGTAGTAAAGCATACCATAATCATCCAGATGAAACAAAATAAAAATCATACAAAATTAAGTACCCAGAAATTTAGAAAGCTGGACTTGCATAGATGAGTACATTCTGGAATGACAGTGACAGGTGCTTTTTTGGCCCAGAACTTAGTTGGGTCCATAACTTTCTTTTTTTTTTTTTTTCTATTTTTTTTTTTTTCAACGTTTATTTATTTTTGGGACAGAGAGAGACAGAGCATGAACGGGGGAGGGGCAGAGAGAAAGGGAGACACAGAATCGGAAACAGGCTCCAGGCTCTGAGCCATCAGCCCAGAGCCCGACGCGGGGCTCGAACTCACAGACCGCGAGATCGTGACCTGGCTGAAGTCGGACGCTTAACCGACTGCGCCACCCAGGCGCCCCTGGTCCATAACTTTCTAAAAATGGTCAAGTCAGAGTCGCCTGGATGGCTCAGTCAGGTGAGCATCCAACTCTTGATTTTGGCTCAAGTCGTGATCACAGCTTCATGGGATTGAGCATCCCGTTCAACTCCATCCTGAGCGTGAAGCCAGCTTAAGACTCTCTCTCTATCCCTCTACCCCTCTCCCCTGCTTGCACTCTCTCTCTCTCTCTCTCTAACTAAAAATAATAAATACATACATACATACATAAAATAAAAATGGTCAATTTCTGTAAATACATTTTTCATAAATTGTAAAACTAGGTACTGGTATCCATCTTGATTTTCAAATTTGTACCCTAACTAAATTAACTATGGTGGTAGTTTTAATTCAACTATATTTACTGCCAGTAATGAAAGAAATCATAAAACTGTCTGATCGTCATTTCTGTCTCTTTTGCCTTCTTCTGCCTTCTCCCCTTCATAAATACTCACTGTCCCTGGGCACTGCAGCATCCTACTTCAACTTGCCTCTAAAAACTGTGCTCCATACTATGAACTCTTCTAGTTCCTACCCTCTTCTCCTGTAATTCTTCCATCCCATCAGGACCTACTATTTTCTAAGAGGATAAGTAATTGGTCAGGGTAGTTATTTTGTAATAAATTATTCATCAGGGGGCAATGTTAGTAGGAAAGAGCTAATCTCCCAATCCTCATTCCTTCCCTTTGTTTTACTCTAACAAAACCCATTATCTTTCTTCTAATTACTATAAAAGTCATAATGCTCAATATTTGAAAAATCAGTAAAAAATAAATGAAGAAAGACAATAAAAATCATCCCTAATTCCTTCTTCCAAAAAACCTACCTTTGCTATATCTTTCCATTGTTTTTACCATATAGATGCATGCATATACATGTGTTCTGGGTTGAACTGTGACCCCAACAAAAGATATGTTCAAGTCCTAACCCCCAGTACCTGTGAATGAGACTCTATTTGGAAATAGGGTCTTTGCAGTTATAATCAAGTTAAGATAAGATCATGCTGGATTAGGATGGGCCTGAAATCTAATGACTGAAATCCTTATACCAGAAAATATGGGAAAATGTGAAGACGGGTGTACAAAATGGAGTTATGTTGCCACAAGCCAAAGAACATCAAGGATTGCCAATAACCACCATAAGCTAGAAGAGGCAAGGATGGATTCTTTCTTAGAGCCTTCAGAGGGAGGATGGCCCTGCAGGCACCTTGTTTTGGACTTCTATCCTCCAGAACTGTTGGAGAATAAATTTCTGTTTGTTTAAGTTTCTCCATTTATAATAATTTGTTATGGCAGCCCTGGGAAATTAATACAACATATTTTACAAAAATAGGATCCTTTGATATATACTATTATATGTATGTATGTATATTAATATGTATGTATGTATATTAATGTATATACTATTATATGTATTATATGTATGAGTACAATGACTCAACAGTATATTACTGATGGTTTTCCACGTCAGTATTTCACCTTAACAATCCTTTTAATGGGGCCTGGTTTCTATTAAATGGATAAAATATGATTTATTTAGCCAGTATCACTTTGTTAGCTATGGTTATTACCAGTTTCTACTCCTATAAATAATGCTGAAGTTACCATCCTTTAATTATTGTGGCTAGTGTAGTTACTTCTATTTCTAGCAGTTCAGACAGGCTATACCAATTTACGCTCTTAGCAGCAGTATATGAGTGTGCCCCTTCCTCATCAATTTTTATACATATATGTAATATATGTATATGTGTATATATGTTTTATCTAACACTTTTAAATTTTATAATCTGAAAAAAAGCATTGCCAATTTGATATTTGACAGTATTTTGTTTACCTTGTGAATAGCGCCTGGGACATAGCAAGACTCAATAAATGATGACTGTTCTTTCATTGCATTGTTCATAGATTCAGTATCAACTGAATCTATCCTTTCCCCACTCATCTTAAATGTCCATTTTATCACATACTAAATTCTTATACACACCAAAATCTGAACTTTCTGTTTTAATCCCGTATTTGTATTCCTTCCCTCATAATATACAGAAATATGAAAAAAGAGACTCTCTAAAGGGTTCTTGACCTAAACTATTAGAGTTACTCCAGTGGTAAAACTTTAAGAAAGAAAAAAGTAAAGGGATACGGGTGAGGAAAAATGGGAACAGAGAAATTTTAAATCATACCCCCAATATAACAACTAGTATCACAACCTAACCTTGGTCTCTTCACATACCAAGAGGTAGCCTCGTCTTCCTCTGCCTCCTTGGAACAGGAGCTTCTTTTGGTTGTTCTGTGGATTCTTTAGCTGGTGGCTCACTGCCCTCAGATGGCTTATGAACAGGAGCCTGAACAAGGCCTTCTGAAGAAGTGCTACCTGCAGACAAGTGGAATGGGAAAAAACAGGATAATTTAACCAAAGATCAGAGTCTTAGAAAGATGAAAAAAAATGGAACTAGAATAGTTCCTAAATGATGACTAACTGTCCTTTGTTACATCTTTGCCTATAAGAATTGGTCTTAACCCACACTTATATCACATTATAAATTATAATAAATTCAGTAGTTAATATATCAAATCAATACTCAAGGGTTTTTGTTTTTGTTTTTTATTATATCTCTACATACAGACACAGATATTTTCACATCTTAAGATTCGTAACAGGGGCGCCTGGGTGGCGCAGTCGGTTAAGCGTCCGACTTCAGCCAGGTCACGATCTCGCGGTCCGTGAGTTCGAGCCCCGCGTCGGGCTCTGGGCTGATGGCTCAGAGCCTGGAGCCTGTTTCCGATTCTGTGTCTCCCTCTCTCTCTGCCCCTCCCCCGTTCATGCTCTGTCTCTCTCTGTCCCAAAAAAATGAATAAACGTTAAAAAAAAAAAATTAAAAAAAAAAAAAAAGATTCGTAACAGGCAGCAAGTAGAGTGGAGGGACGAGTTAGAGCTGACTGAGGTTTTGAGCCCAAGTGACTGGGAGAATGGGGGGTTCCATTAACAGAAATTTGTGAGAAGTAAAAAATTGATTTATGGCTGAAGGTAATGATGAATTCTGAACATGCTGAGTTTAAGTTACTGACAGAACATCCAGGAGTATTAGTGGATAACTAAGACAAAAAGTTCACAAAACTTGCTTATTGTAGAACCTCTAACACATGGTTAATATGGCCTTGACTTCAGACTCTTGCTAATGAAGAGATTCTTTGACTGAAATTAGGGATCCCAGGACATTGTGTCTCTAAATCCAGTATCCTGTTCAAGGGTCTGAAATCAATCACAGCTTAAGACAATTTACGTTGTCTAGGGATAAAAGACCTCAAAGAGTCCAAGAATGCTGTGGAAGTAAGAGTTTAAGTAGTACAATCCTTTATTCCACGAATGCTTCTAGACACTCTTCAGGCTGCCCACTGCCTTGTTCCTCACTATCACCTTCCACTTCCTTAAACTGACTTTGATTCTATCCTTAACACAGCAGTGACTTGGGACTTCTGGGGCTTTGCCTCTACCTCATTGGTGATGTTTGTCATGCCTAAGGTCCTAGAAAGTCTTGTGACCCCCACAAAAAAAGAACAACTTCTTACCTAGTGTGTTTTTTGTTCTGGGCTTCTTTTTCTTAGGACGACTAAGGGGAATATCACCTATAAAACACACACAAAAACAGAAAAGGCTGCCTAAATTTCAATGCAGAGAGCAGTCAAAAGGAACTTTTAGTAGGGAAGACCTTTCCCTCTCTTCCCTAGGTCCAGCCAACTTGTACACATTAGGGGAAGGAGGCAAGAACTTGACAAAATCAAAGAAAGCTTATAATATAATGCCAGTAGCTCACTGTTGGTCAGTAATATTAGAAACAGTGACATTAAAAAAAGAAAGAAAGAAACAGTGACATTTCTAATACTAGAAAAGTGGGCTCACAAAATATTCATCTGATCACCCACATTTTCCAGCCCCCTTGCACCCAGGTGTGGCCTGAGACTGGGTTGAGCCAATATACTGTGATAACTGATGTGCCAAAACATTAAAGAGCTAGTGAGTAACTCTCCAGCTTTCTCTTCATTTGCTGAAGTATGTTAAGATGGCAGAGCCACAGAATGGAAGTAGCCTGAATCATGACGTCATAGCAAAGAGTGGTGAAAGGCAACTGGCCTGGATTGTTGCCACGGTGTACTTAGAAATATTACCCAGAAATATTAACCAGAAATAACCTTGTATGATATTAAGTTAGAGATTTTGAGGTTGGTATAGCATAGCCCAGTCTATCCTGATTAAATGAGACAGAAGACAATGTCATCCCTATTACAAAACTATAAACTAGCCAATGGTCATGTTGTGGGTGACTCCATCCTGGAATGAGTGCTTTCATATTTGTAAGGTAAAGTATCACTCATATAACTAGTGCTATAGATCAACCTTCATTTAAAAAATAGCAGTCATAAGGATATTTTGCTAAAAGGATAAAAGTATATTGCAATATTATAAATTATACCATTCAGATTCAACTTTAAGAAAAACATTAAGGAATCAAATTAACTTTTGAACTCCCAGTTTTAAAAATTTTACATTAAGTATGAACTAACTCACCTTGAATAGCACTTTACATGACACCGACCAAATTTAATTAGGACAAAGACAAAAAAAAGAAACTATTAATTAGAAATCTATTACATTGTTAGACTGAAAACTGACTTAAGTCATTGTAAATTTAAAAATAAGCTTTCACAGAGCCAGCTAGTTTATAAACTAGCATATTTTTATAAGTAAAAAAGCTAATAAAACTGTTAACAAAATAACCCCAATAGTTTCTGAACTTACATATACATATTACCTACTGTCTATTAATAAAGTGGATTAAGCAGATTAAGAATTCTTATTTTGTCACTGATTAAAACCAGCTTAAACTGAAGAAACTATTCTAGCAACCCAAAGAGGATCAAAAGTCTTATAAACAAGACATTAAAACATTCAGAATGGATCCATTATCTTACCATGTTGACATTCAGGCTTTGAAACAGAACATTTAATTATAACTGTAATCCTAATGATTCAAGAATTGTTTACCTTTAAACTTTTAGGAAGCCTTTTTCTAAAATTTTCAAGAAGTTTTCTCTGAATTATTATAATTTTGCAATTGTACTAGTCAATTTTTTCACTTTATTCATTTTACATTTTTAAAACTCAATAAAAAATAAAACTAACTTATTTTTACCTTGGCACAGGTGGAAGGGCTCGTGGAGGACGCTATGGGGAGAAGAAGAAAACTGCTTGTAAGTAAAAGCCTCAGAACATCTTCATGTACTTCAAATCTTTTGATAACCCTGTTCATCAAATGAAACCCAAGAAGTACTACTGAGAATCAGACGGGCAATTCTAAATTTGTCTTAACAATTTCTAAATTTCATATAAAATTCCTTCCTTCCTACTACTCCTTTCTATCTACATGTCAGGCTGTGTCCTAAGGACTACAGTTACATTAATGAACAAAACAGGGAAATCCCTGCTTTTATGGAACTTTCTTTCTAGTAGTTAAGTATGAGAAGATTACACATATGCACATGCACACACATGCACACACACTCGCACACACACAAAAATGAGGGAGGATGTGGAGTGCTACTTTAGTTAGGGAAAGTCTCTCTGAGATATTTGAGCTGAGACCTGAATAAGAAAGGAGCCAAAGGGGAGCAAACACAAAGGCTTTTAAGAGAGATTACAGTGTTTCAGCTAAAAGAAGGCCAGTAAAGCTGCAGCACAGTTACAAAGGATAGGCAGGGGCCAGATTAATTAATTGGGGTCTTTTTTTTTAAGTTTATTTTTTTGAGAGAGAGAGTGCACACCTGAGTGGGGTCAGGGGAGAGGGAGAGGGAGAGGGAGAATCCCAAGCAAGCTCCCCACTCTCAGCCCAGAACCAACAAGGGGCTTGATCCCACCAAGGGTAAGATCATGATCTGAGCCCAAGTCCAGGGTCTGAGGTTTAACAGACTGAGCCACCCAGGCACTACCATTAGGGTCTTGAAGACAAAAGGTGTCCAGATTTTGTTTTAATTAAACGAGAAGCCAGTGGAGGTTGTATGTCACAGAGTAACACACTTTTTTAAAGAAATCACTCTGAATACAGCATGAGGAATGCATTTCAGGGCAGAAAGAATTACACACACACACACACACACACACACACACCCGTTATAAATGCCACTTTACATGAATAAGAGAAAGTGTTTGCAGTTCAGAGATTAGAGATGAGAAGCATTCTGCGATCTTTCAAAATAAAATACTAACAGAAATACCTCAAAATCAATCTAATGTCCCAACTGTCTCATGCTCCTTGCAGAGGGCATGATTCAAAAGGGTTACATTTTAGACACTCTTAGTTTGTTCTACGATCGTCCTATTTAGCAATCCATTCGTTCAAACGGTGTATTAATACAAATGCTACGAGATTAGGACAAGGCAGGCTGTCTTAATACTATCTGGTAGTTAAAATTACAACTGGAAAAAAACGATAGTCATAAGAAAGTGCTATTGTAAAGATGCTATGGATCGCGTTCTGTCCAAGGATTCAGTTCACACGTTCCACATTTCAAAAGTCCCGCAAAAATGACGTGTCACCCATCCACAAAGCCAACTTTAAGCCCCATTAAAGCAGGACAGCTCGACTGAACACAAAATCCTAATAGCTCAAACATAACTAGGGCTCGCTTACCACCTGCTTCTTTCCCATTCGGTCTAAAACCCTGCTTCCCCGCGGCGCTCAGCCTCCAGGCTCGAAGAGCTCACACCCCGCCCCCTGCTCGCTCCCGACCGGGCAGGCCACGCGCAGGCGCCGTGCGTCATTGGACTGCGCGGCACTGGCTGCTGTGGCGCTCAGCCCTTCTCTGCAAGGTGGGGGCGAGGATAAGCGCGGGGAGCTGGTTGGGCCTTTGCAATCTAGCCTTGCAGAAAAGGGGACGTCGGAGTGGGGGTTGACGTGCCAAGGAAAAGAGACTCCAGCGGGCATAGGACAGCAATCACGGTTCCACCCATGGTTTCCCAAGTGGTTGCAGTGATTTGTTCCTGGGAGGTGGGAAAAGACCATGATTAAGTCTCCGCTAGGAAACTGCGATCTCTTTCCTGGGCAGGTAAATGCCCTCCGGGAGGAATCCGCTTGAGAGACCTCGCTGGCAGCCCAGGAACACGCAGGGGGCGGGAAGGCAGCGAAGAGAGACGTTGTCATAGCAACATCGGGCGCTCAGGCCACCAGGAACTTCACGCCCTGCTTCTCCCCTGGCTCCAGGAGTTTGGGTCCCGGCGTCGGGAAGAACTTCTATTGCCCGCTCCAGTCTAATCCTGTGAGCACCAAATGGGTGGACGCGCACACATCACTGGCAGTGCTCTCCCTTTGCGATCCCCAGCCCTAGGCATGGCCCCGCCTCAGGGCCAGCTGAAGCGTTAGGACAGCACCCTCCACCGCTGCCACTTCCGTGGCCGAAGAGCCGCTCACCGGTTCGGCCTCCAGGCGGAGCCCCGAGTCCGCCCTCATTGCGCTCTCCCAGCCGGGGTCTCTCAACGCAACGGCCGGCGGCCCGAGCCTGGGTCCCGCGACCGTGCCTCCGGGACCTGCGTCAGGCCGGGGCTTTGCGGTGTCGGGTTAGGCCGCAACTCTGAGGGCCAGGTCTCTGCCCGCCGTCGCTGTGTCAAGCCCCGCCCACCAAGGCGTCAGAGTTAGGGAGGGGCGCCGTTAGCCCTGTAGTGAGCCTGGTGGAATCACTTTTGTCAAGCAGTGAAGAAATGAATCAAGTAGGCAGTCAAGGGCTGTGAGCAGAGAATAGATACCGCTAAACCCAAAACACTCTGTTGGTCCGGAGAACTGATAATCGGCAAGGCCAAGATTGCCTAGAAGAGCCAGGCACTGATCATCCCTAGAACCAGAAGTCTGGAAAGGCTAAAGTTACAGAGAGGGAAGGAGGCAAAGCATAAGAGACTCTTAAAAACTGAGAATAAACTGAGGGTTGATGGGAGGTGAGAGGGAGGGGAAAGTGGGTGATGGGCATTGAGGAGGGCACCTGTTGGGATGAGCACTGGGTGTTGTATGGAAACAAATTTGACAATAAATTTTATATTTAAAAAAAAAGAGAAAAAAACATTTTACCTTACATGGACAAATATGAATAAATATCAATTGAAATATTTAAAAAAAGAGACTGATCTCTGAACATAATAGAAACCACTCCACTGCTTGAACATAATGTGCAGGTAGCAACCAGAGCTGACCCGGACCGGACTGAGTTTTCATCTGAAGGAGGCACTCATTGACTGACTTGGCGTTTGATTCTTTAACTTCTTACCCTTGTATCTTGTTTATTGTGGCTTTATCTTGTGTCACATATGTGAAGTCAAGTTAAACAGGTAGTGAAATGTCATTCAGTTTGGAATCCTGCATCTGTTAAAATTGTGTAAATCCTGCTTTATGAGTGAATAAAGCTGACATTATGGAAAGACACAATTCGTGTACCACCTTACAAGATGCTGGAGACACCCACGCCCCCACACCACACACACACACACACACACACACACACACACACACACACACAAAAGCCCAGTGTTTCAGGGTGGGTATGTATTGATACAGACTAGTATCAGATTTTTTTCCAGGTGTGTGGGTGTGGGTGTGTGTGTGTCTGTGTGTCTGTGTGTCTCTGTTGATACAGGCAATTCTCAAATTTTCGCCAGTTGCTTATCTTCCATCTCTGTAAATCAAGTTTAGGAAAACTTTTTCTCAAAAAAACAGAAGATCAAATCCGAGATAACCTAAGTATCATTAAAAATGACTTAATTCTCTTTGGTTGGGGTTTCTTGGGGGGTTATTTTTTTCTTTGGTTGTTTTTTTTCCCCCTTTGGTAGTTGTTTTTTTAAGATAATCACTTTAAGTAAAAAAGAACTACAAATACCTTGAAGTATGCACCTGGTTTCTTTTATAGTTAAGAAAGAGATTGGAGGAATAGAGGGATGGTGTGGGTATGGGGAATGTTAGAGAATGATGCAGAAAATAAACAGATACAGGGCCAATAAGAGTGACTGCAAGTCTCAAGATCTAGGGAAAAAGAAAATAAGACTTTGTGGAATAGCATCCTCACCTTGTGGTTTTCTCAGATACGAGTCTCTAGGACTAAAGTCAATTGCCCTTTCCTAGTTTAGGCATAATATGGATGTTGGCTTTTAGGCAAATTAATGATTGTTACAGCTCTGAACAGAAGAATAATTTTTTTCCTTGTAGATTGATTTATAAATGATGAGGGCAGTGTCTCTTCTGTAAGTTTTCACATTAGATGTGAAATGTGTACATTAACCCTTCTTTCTTGCTAAGTCAAGTAAAAGCCATTTTCATAAAATAGAAGTTTCATGAGGCAAAATCCAGTTTCTGAAATTAAATACTACTTATTTTATTTAGGGAAGCTCTTTTATCTGAATTGTACAAAAACCGCATGAAATCTATGAAAGGTTCTCATACTCACTGGCTTAACATTGTTCGTACTCCTACCATTGCTGCATATGAGGTAAAGGAAAACATTTTTTCCTGAAAGCCAAGGAGGTAATTCTACATACATACAATGCAAATATTTTTTTCAAACCGGACTAATTAATAAACTGCACCACTTTTAAAGTTGTACACATTATAATGGAGCAAATCCTGCTGTTTTAGATTGCAGCTGTTATTCCAGAGCTCTGTAACAGATGAATATTGTTAAAACCCCAGCATTAAGCAGGAAGCCTCATTAAGACTCAGTATCAGAGGAAACCCATGTTGCTGGTACCCACTGAGGCTCCTCCTGAGCCTTCTGAACTGCAGACAACAATTGGGCACAGGCATCTTGCAAGTTCTCATTCACAATCACATGATCAAAAAACTGGCCAAACTGTGTCTCCATCTTTTGGGCTAAATCCTCCATCTCTTGTAGATCTTCATCCTTTAGGAGAAATGAAAAAATATGGATAGCACAGACTTAAAAAGATAAATATAAATAATACACAGTTTGTTTTGATGTTATATTCAGTTGTGAAACTATTTATAAAAACACTTAGGTCAAATAAACGTCCTCTATTCTAAACCACAAAACTTATGTTTCTATCTTTACTCTTACTAAATGTTTCTCTGGTCAAGACTTTGCAAAACTAAGTAACAGTTGGTAGCCAGAACAACCCCCTCAACTTCTTATTTGGACTTAAATTATATTATTCTATTATCTAAACACTTGAAGCTTTCAACCATATATAACGAAGAAGAAGAAGAAGAAGAAGAAGAAGAAGAAGAAGAAGAAGAAGAAGAAGAAGAAGAGGAAGAAGAGGAAGAAGAAGAAGAAGAAGAAGAAGAAGAAGAAGAAGAAGAAGAAGAAGAAGAAGGCGGCAGAGGAGGAAGAGCAGGAGGAGGAGGAAAGGGAAAGAAAGAAAATGAAATTTACCAGTTAAATATAAGTAAAACTTACACATAAATTTCAAATGAAATTTTAGAAGGTAAAATACAGTTTCTACAACTAAATATTGATAAGAATGATATCATTCTGCCACTTTCAACATGAAGATGGTGACCTGGTTCTATTGAATTAGACATACCCTAATTGTCCTTTGCCTCATGAGGCCATGACTTAATTCACTTTTGATATCGATTTCCTCTATTGTGAAATGTTCATTTAGTGAGAGTCATTTGGCCTTCCTCGGAACTAATGCATTAACTTCACTGCTGTTATTTTCTTATTTGTCCATAACAATTAAAACAGTACAGCTTTTTGACAGTGCAATCATAAAAAACAAATAGGGGGGAGCTTGGGTGGCACAATCTGGTAAGCATCTGACTCTTGGTTTTTTAGCTCAGGTCATGATCTCACAGTTTGTGAGCTTGAGTCCCAGGTCAGGCTCCGCGCTGACATCACAGAACCTGCTTCATATTCTCTCTCACCCCCTCTCTCTTTGCCCCTCTCCTGCTTGCACTCTCTCTCTCTCTCTGTCTCTCAAAGTAAATAAATAAACTTAAAAAATAAAGTAAAAAATAAACACAAATACAAATGCAGGCACTGCAATGTTGTGGCAGTACTCCTTTACAAGATGACAATACTCATGATCCAGAAACAATTTTGTTGATTTGTTTAGCTTGCCATAAAAATGAGAACACAATTTTAAATGCCTATGAGATTCAGAGAATTTATCCATGGACTCCACTGTCTGAAACGCAAACTGAAGAATCAGATTCTCATACAGTAGTCACTTAAAAAAATATGAAGACAGAAATAATAACAAAGGATTATACAAATATACCTGTTTTTCACTTCAGAAGCACATATATTAAATTTGTTTTTTTTTTAGTTTTTTTAACATTTATTCATTTTTGAGACAGAGAGAGACAGAGCATGAATCGGGGAAGGTCAGAGAGAGAGGGAGACACAGAATCTGAAACAGACTCCAGGCTCTGAGCTGTCAGCACAGAGCCCGACACAGGGCTAGAACTCACAGACCGCGAGATCATGACCTGAGCCGAAGTCGGACGCCCAACCGACAGAGCCACCCAGGCACCCCTTAAATTTGAAACAATACAGATTAACATGGCCCCTATGCAAGGGAGACATGCAAACTTATGACGTATTCTTTATATTTAATTTCAGTTTTATAAGATGAAAAAGTTCTAGAGATCTCTTGCACAGTGTGAATATATTTAACACTACTAAACTGTACAGTTACAAATGGTTAGGATGTTAAGTTTTATGTTATGTGTTTTTTACCATATACACAAAAAAATAAGTGGATGTAATATATTGATCTAGGTGATGGTTATCTGGGTATATGCACATGTAAAAATTCATTAAGCTGTTATACATAAGATTTATACACCTTGCTGAATGTATATGATGACTTAAAATAGTTAAGGTAGATTTAATGAAAAAAATAAACTGGAAAGAAACTAGTTATTCCAGGAAGAGTTCACTGATAAATCCCACCTGTCTTGGCCCCTCTATTATTTCCATCATCATTAATACATAATATTTGCGTTTAGAAATATACTTTATATAGATAACTGATATTACATATAAGATATATTCACTACAACATTTTAAAAGTAACTTCTCAAACTCTTTCATAAGATAAATAATAAAATATAAACATCAGGCTTGTGCACACCCACTTTCCATGTGGATTTGCAAACTGTAGCTTGAGGTCATTTTTTTTTTTAACTTAAGCCAGACTAGAAAAAAAATAATAGTATCATAGCATTTATTAAACATTATTTTAATATCTACAAATGATATCCAGTAAAAAGGACAAACCATAGGGCATTTCATTATTCATTAGAAACAAAAATCACATTCCTTAACACTGGAATGTTGTGAAAATAATACAGTGATTATTTTTTTACTAGAAAAAAAATGCATGTGTCTATTTTCTCTGTATCTTACCTTGAACTTCATGTCCACAAAGTAGTCTGTAATGATCTTGGCATTTTTCCGAGACTGCTTCATACAACTCATGTTAGATGGCTTTATAAATATGACATAGGGCCTTAGTTCATGGGTTCGAGCTATTTGAATACCCTACACACAAAAAATAGGTTCATATTTAAAAACAGAAATCTTAATTTCCTAGAGTCAACATGAATGTTCTCAAAATTTCTAAGACCAGAAATTAGCAATTATTTTCAGCCAATTTATTTTTATTTATTCTCCTTTGCCCTCAAGTCCTCAACTCTAAAAAATAAAAATTTTAATAATTAAGAGATGGGGTTCTAGGATTAAAATTAAGTTTAAATTGTGGCTCTTCCTCTCACTAGTCATGACACCCTTATGAAATCTGAGAATAGGATCCTATAAATAATCTCATGGGAAAGAGGCAAAGACAAACTCTGCAGGTGGATCAGTTCTGTTTCACCCTCACTTCCCCTTCCTCTTGGCTATTATCTTATATTGGATACTACTGACATCTTCACACTGACCACCAGCCTTGACCCAAGTAAGAACAATTGTCTTATCCCCTGATTCTCTTTAGTACACATGGTATATTTAAAATGACTACAAAAAAAAATCCCACAAAATACAAGGATCAAAAAATGGAGCCTACACATTGTGTGTTCTTTACCCTAACTTGCTCACTCCTGCCTCACTCCACATATAGTCTCATAGAGGTAGCTACAGATATGACAACATGGGAACCTCACCTCCTTATGTAAAACAACATCTTATTCTCTCCACAAATTTCCTTAATGCCTTTGTGATCAAAGTCAAAACAGGATTCTAACTTTTCTTTATAGCCACCAGCTCAGTTCTCTTTTTGTATCTGAGAAGCAAGACTCATTCCCTAACTAAAGACAAGATATTGGCAACTGTTCCTTTACATAAGATCCTGGTCCTTAGATATGGTAAGTGGTCTTATCCCTAAAAGGCTAAAAGAATAAAATGTCTCAACTACGATCTACAGCAATATGCACAAAATGCAAGACATTCATTCATTACTTTGGGGAGATGGGAAATATTCCACCATAGACCTACCTGAGGCTCTAAGTCCATGACACAGATCTTTCCTTCATCAAGGACTGCTTGAACAGCATCCACGCTGGTGCCATACAGGTGGCCTTTGTATTCACCATACTCGAGCATCCTGCAAGGGTGCCACAAGGAAAACAAGAACTCTTTCTACAAGTAAAATACTATTATAGTAACATGAAGATAAACTCCAACGAGATAGAACATAAATAGGTGGACTTCGGTAGCACAAGAAGAATTATCAATAGGAGAAAATCAATAGGAGAAAAAAAATATTAGGAGATCTAGGACTCAACTATTTCTCCAAAGTCTCTAAGACTGGCAACTCAGTTCTGCTCCCTCTCCCAACCCAATAAGTTAGTGTAGTAGTTGATCAATTTGCATTTCCTTGCTTAACTCTTCGGAAACAAAAGGAATTGCCCCAGAAGCTTTGGATAATGCATAAAAATGGGGCATGTATTTTGAAGGTAAAATAACCAAAGGTAAGAATCAGATTCCGAATGTATAGCCTACCTGTGACCATACATGAGGCTTTCAAATGTTTCCTTTGACACGTAATGATACTCACGTCCATCCATTTCATAACTCTTTTTGGAACGAGTAGTATCTATCAAAAAACGGAATTTAAAAAAATGGTTTCAAATCTTTGAAATGTTTTGGTTTATTACCAATATACATTTGGATAAATATTTCTAATCAAAGTAAATAAAGGAATACATAAACAGGTAAATAAAATGCTAGAACCAAAAAGACGGAGCCTAAATTGGTGATAAGAAAATAGAAGTTCTCATCAAAATCAGTTCATCTATAAATCTTTATTAAGTAATCACAGTGTGGACACGAATGTATTAGGTATTGAGCTAGGATGGGGAGACCCTAAGGGATAGCTGCTCATACTAAAAAACAGGCATGAGTGAATTATATGTGAGCCCTAAGATGCCTAAAGGCCCCCAGGTAGCATATCTTATGTTTAGATAATGCATTTCCCAAGATCTCATTTCATTGCTCACACTGCTAGCTTGATGAAATGCTATTTCATCACCATAATTTACTGATAACTAACTGAAGATTTTACAGAGTAACTTGCTCATGTACACAAGACTAATGAAAAGCAAAGTTGAAAACAAGAACCTACGTGTTCTGACTCCTCCTAGACTAATATTTTCTGCTACACCAGATTGTCTCTGAATTGAAAGGAGAAAGCCCATGACAGTCTGTCTGCAGTCTTGCCCAAATGCATTGATAGCCAAGGGAGATGGTGATTAGTTTTAGGGAACTCCAGAAGGGAAAGACTGGTGGAGTCTGGATTCAGTCCCATTTTTTTATTATAGATTCCTCAAGTTAAATAGTACTTGGTATAGAACACAGGAGCTCATTGAATGACTGAAAGTGATTCATTTTCTGTTCATCTATTTATTCAACGAACATGTACTGAGTGCCTCTGTTCTGGATATCTTAGTTTCCTAGAACACACAGATGAATGAACCACAGTTCCAACTCTGTGTCCTATATATACCACAAAGCTTCTAGTCCCTTAATCTGCATTGCCACAAATTCTCCCTGTTCATAAAAAAAATGGCATATTTGCATTTGTACTTGACAAAGTTTAAGAATGAAATATATGAACACTTGATAATATCAACACATGGAAATGACAAAGCAGGAACTTGACATAGAACCTAAATGAAAAAGGAGTTATGGACATTCAAGAAGTTTAAAAAACAAATGTCATCTGAGAGTCATCTTTTTTTTCTTTATTCAAGGCTCTCTGCAGATACTTAGAATTTCTACAGTTATGCCACCTCTCCTATAGCTTTGTACTGAAAAAAAAAATTCTGGTAAAACACTATACTCTCGGGTTATAATAAATTATGTAAATATAAACCTAAGATTACTAATTCTCCGTGGCTTCTATTGGACTATGTTTTATATGGTAGGTTAAAATCTGTGAACTAATGCATAACTAGATGTATTCATTTTAAGATTAAAACTATTCACTCAATTTAGAAAGCAAAATATGGGCAACATTTTCTCACTTGAATGATGACTAGCTATACTGCTTACAATTATTCTATGTTCCATGGGCATTTTATTTTTATCCAGATTATTGAAAAATGGTGATTTCTTCTGTGGTTTTGTTTTAATTCAAGTTAGTTAACATATGGTATAGTCTTGGCTTCAGGAGTAGGACTCAGTGATTTATCCCTTACATATGACACCCAGTGCTCATCCCAAAAAAGTGCCCTCCTTAATGCCCAGCACCCATTTAACCCACACCCTCCACCCACCTCCCCTACAGCAACCCCTGGTTTATTCTCAGTATTTAAGAGTCTCTTATGGTTTGCCCCCCTCTCTGTTTTTATCTTATTTTTTCTTCCCTTCCCCCTACGTTCATCCGTTTTGTTTCTTAAATTCCACATATGAGTGGAATGAGGGCTCTTTCTCTAATTTGGCTATTGTTGGTAGTGTTGCTATAAACACTGGATGTTGGAGATCAATGTCCATTCTTACACATGTGAACAGTGTTTGTTTTTAAGTTTAGTTATTTTGAGAGACAGAGAGAGCAGAGGAGGGGCAGAGAGAGGGGGAGAGAGAGAGAATCCCAGCAGGCTCCATGCTGTCAGCGCGGAGCCTGATGTGGGGCTTGAACTCACGAACCGTGAGAACATGACCTGAGCCAAAACCAAGAGTCAGACGCTTAACTGACTGAGCCACCCAGGCACCCCTATAAAGCAACTTTTTCTGTCACCTATTGCCTTCTGTGGGACAAGACCTTCTCCTGGTCCTGGATGAAAATCTAAGCAGTTATCAGGACTCTTCTCATTACTCTTAGGTTAAAAAAAAAAAAAAAAAAAAAAAAAGGCCACCATCACCTGTGCCACAAATGCAGTCTTGATCTAATAAAATTCCATTCCCATGTAATAATCAAAATTATGATTATTTTAGGCTTCTCCTCCACACACCTGGCTCAGACTTGCTGCAAGCAGGGAAGCCTGCAGTCAGAGAAGCCAAAGTCAGGAAAGGGAATAGGATTCCTCTCCTCCCTTTCATTGCCTCTCTACTATTCCTCTCCAGCTTTCTAACTGTCCAAGGCTACAGTGCAGAAAGGAGAGGAAAGAGCAGGAAAATTCTCACTTCACTGATACTGATGCTGGATACTATAGGCTCCTCTTAGATATTTAAATCTGGTAGATATTTAAATCTGGCTCTGCTCTCCTAGACGATGCATTGGGTTATTCTGCAAACCCTATCACCACCACCGTTGCCACTGAGTATCTCAAATCCATCCCTATGCCAGCTAGTCACTTGTGATTTCTCAAAGGGTAGCTACTTCCCAGACTATAGCCATTGGCCACTCCTTTAAACTCTTTCCATTTTTTCAGGTATAATTCTGACATCAGTCTTCCATGCCCCCCAAACTGCAGGGAACGCATGCAAAGCTCTTAAGTGGTTTCTCTAAGTTCCTCTCTCTTGCGTTCAGATGAAGAGGAAGAACCTACATGCACATGCTCTTTCCTGCCATGGATGATATAATCACATATACAGACTTATATAAAATTATATCTGTATATATTGAAAGTTTCAAAATAAAATAAGGCATTTAAAGAGCCAAGCACAGTGCCAGGAAGATGGTAAGTAATTAACGAATGTTAGTTATTATTGCTAAATATTAGTTTTCCTGAAGAGTCATCTATATAGTCATTGAGAGATGGAAAAGAGACAAAGTCCCCCTTTAAAAGCCTACATGTCAATAAATCAATTCCCTCTATTAAAATAAATATAGTTAGGAATATTATACAAGGACTATTCCTAGTGTCTGATATATTTTTACAACAAAAATGGTATGGCACAGTTAACTGAGATCAGTGCATCTGCAGAGACAAAGACAGTTTTACCGAAACATGAACTGCTAGGAAAGAAAAACTACACATACGTGGCACAGCACTTTGGAAATGGCTAGGATTACGTTCAATAAGTTGTCTTCTCAGTTCATTTACTCCAACGCCCGAAGGTCCTAAATACAGAAAGTCACATGCAGAAATTATAAGATGTGAATAAATATGATTATGTGGTAAAATCATCGTTTCAGTTCTTCTACTGAAAAAACTTGAGAGCAAATTTTTTGGGAAATGTTTTTAGTTTCTCACAAACTGAAACAATTCCAGAAAGCTCTTAGGAATTTTCCTGGTGACCCATGGAGTAACCCACACTTCTTCAACATTCCAGAAATAAGCTGGGGAATTGCAGGAACCAGTCACCTCAGCAACCTTCATCTAATGTCAGACACTGAAAATTCTCTGGCCTCATTTCAGATAATCTGAGACAATCTGCCTTTCCTGTCAAATGAAGTTTCCATCACATCACAACCCAGAAATCAGCCCCTATAATTATGGGTCCCATGACTTATAGAATTCAGACATATTCCCTTTTTTTTAAGTTTACTTATTTATTTTGACAGAGAGAGTGAGTGGTAGAGGGGCAGAGAGAGGAGAGAGAGAATCCCAAACAGGCTCCACACAGTCAGCACAGACCCCGACCTGGTGCTTGAACCCACAAACCATGGGACCATGGCCTGAGCCAAAATCAAGAGTCAGACGCCCAACAGACTGAGCCACCCAGACGCCCCCAGACATACTTCCTGATAGATAGTTGAGTCAACACTCTGTGTGCAACTGGAGTCAGAGCTGACTTCATGCAATTACATAGGGCCCAGGCTTAGCATACTACACTTGGTTTAATACTCTTCTTTTGCCTTCTTGAAATCTTAATCATCATTAAACAAGAAGCCCTTGTATTTTCATTTTGCCCTGAGCTCTGCAAATTATGTAGCCGGTCCCGGCTGTAGGGCATGTTGTTCTGCTCTACAGGGGCCTCCCTTGATTACAGTTGGAATACACAGAGATGGCAGCAAGACATTAGTTACTACAGCTGCAGGGACCAGCTTTGCAGAGCTCTTGGTCACAAAAGCACGTCACCCCAGTACTGTATTTGCCCTGTTCTTTAGCACCATATATAGTCCAGAAAACTTTAAACATTTTTCTGAAGAAGGTGGTTACAAATTTCTTAGGGAAATAGGTCTTAAGGATTTTTATTTCTTTTTTTTTTTTTAATAAACTGTGGTTTTTTAATGTTTATTTTGAGAGAGAGACAGACAGAGAGCACATTCAAGAGGAAGGGAGGGGCAGAAAGAGAGGAAGAGAGAGAGAATCCCAAGCAGGCTCCATGCTCTGCAGTGGAGGCCCAATGCAGGGCTCAATCCCACCACTGTGAGATCACAACCTGAGCTGAAATCAAAAGTCAGATGCTTAATCAACTGAGCCACCCAGGCACCCAGAGGATTTTTATTTCTAATACAGACTGCTAATGCAGTCTGGGGGAATACTCACCTATGCTTACAGAACAAACTCAAAACAGGTCAAAAAAAGACAAAACAAAATTTCATAATACAACCTGTTAATACCCCCAGTATATCATGGCATACCACATTTAATTGTAAACAATAAAAGCATGAGACAATAAAGTTTTATTTATAAACACACATATAAGACAGGCTTTTTTTTTTTTAAAGGTGTTTATATTGGCGTCCCTAAAGAATTCTAGTTTTGCCACCACTCCCAACACAAAACCACTGACTCTAGAAGGAAAAGTTCACTATGGGGGAGGAGAGACACAGTTCCTGAGACGTACCCACGAGCACTATGAGGCGGTGCTTGTCTGAAGGGCGTCGCTGGTACCTGACCACTTCCTCGTAGGGGGCGCCTGACGCGCTCAGACAGCCGCTGGCACTGCAGACCCCCGCGTGCTGCTGGCGCAGGTGAGACTTCCGGCGGCAAAGGCGCATGCTCCGGCGGAAGCCAGCTGGGAGGGTGGAAACGCACAGGATGTTACATCCAGGTAGGAGAGATTATTTCTCTTGCCCCGCCTGATGGCGCCTGCAGTGACTGCAACCAGCAAGTGTTAATTAACATAATCACGTCTGTCTAAAGGTAGAAAATAAGAAGAGAACAGAAGGAAAAATAACAAAATGCCCCCACATGTTGCCGCTAAGTTGCACCCTGTGCCCACCATGTGCCAGGTGCTGGGGTTCTAGCGGTCAACTAAATCAAACTCATTTCCTCATGACATTTACGTTTTATGGAGGAGGAAAAACAGAAGTAAACACATCAACAAAAATAAGTGCTTAGAAGAAGGGGCAGTGGAGTGATGGGGGTGTTTCTTCATGGGGAGTGAGGGAATTCAAGTAAAGTGTGTGTGAAAAGGTAACATCGAGCAGACATGGGAATAAAGTAATGGAGCCAGTCAGGAGGCATCTGGGGATGAAAGCAGCCCAAGCGAAGGGAACGTCAACTGCTAAGGTGCAGAGAAAGGAGTGTTTGGGGAAGCACAGAAAGGCTCAAGTAGGGCAGGGTCCTGAGCAGTAGGGAGAAGGGTAGGAAGTGGAGTTGGAGAGGAAGCAGAGTGTTGGATTGTGGTCCAAATGGGATGAAAAGTCACTGGGTGGTGGAGAAATGGGTGTGACATGGTTTGATTTATGTGTCTGAAGAATTCCTCTGGTGCTTGGGGAGGATGCAAAGTGTGGGCTCAGGGGAGAGCAGCTAGGAGGCCCTTGCAGTGCCCCAGATGAGGGAGAATAGTGGCTTGGGCCAGGATAGAAATGGGGGAGCAGGCTGATCACTCACATTTTTCAGATGGATACACTAAGACATGGGTTAGGGGCTGCTCACAACTATGTCATCAGTGGCAGAGTTGGACACTTTAACCATGATTTCTGAACCCCTAGAATCCTGTTTAACCTGCCCGCTGAATCACAGAGCTTTCTGGTATTTAAAAAAAAAAAAAAAGAGCTGTTCCCAGGTCCTTTCAATAGGTAGAGCTAGGGACTATATGTATATGTATAAACACACACACACACACACACACACACACACACACACACACACACACATCTATATCTGTATCTGTATATGTCGAACACCATGAGTTCACACCAATACCCACAAAGCCACCTCGACATTGCGGGATTTATTCCAGCCACCACCACCTCCCCACTTTCTGTATGTTTCTCAGTGAGAAACCTGACACTGATTGTCCTCAATACATTTACTTATTAGTCAAGAGCACTTGTGCAGGATGGGGACGGATGGTGTCAGCAACCTGGCAGAAAGTGTCAGAACCCAAGCTAGGTGAGGAGGCCATCTTTGTAGAGGCTGTGAGGTGTCAGAACCCAAGTGATGGCAGCTGTCCTCCTCACATTGCTCTGGCTCTGACAACCTGTACCAGACCACCATCATCCCCTGCATAAACGTTCTGCTAATACTGCTCAGTGATGCCCCACCCCAGGCTGCTTCTTTCCCACCTTTGTGCGGATGCCTTCCCTTTTAGCATACTTAATGGCGTTGGGGCTGAGTTAACCTCAAAGGGATACAGAAAAGTGGTCCCATGTTGTTGTTTTTCTAAGCTCTCTCAATGATTCTAATGTGCATCTTGGCCCGGGAAACCAACATTTCACTTTATAGATCCTGCTGTTGCCCCACTGTCTCATGGAAAAGGAGGCCCAGTGTGGTTTTACATGAGCCTTTAAAGGGGTCCTTCAGAAACCTCTGCCAAATTGACAGAATATAGAAATGTGGTCATCAAAGTTAAGTTTGGTAGTCAGACAATTGTTCTCTTTAGAGTAAGACAAAAATGTCATGAAACAGTCTGGAAGAAAATAAAAGATTTGTGTTTGCTGAATAATAAGAGATATCCAGTGGAAACCAGATGAATTATGATGAATGATCAACACATCAGAATACTAACCCCCCCAAAAAATTGGGGGGATAGAGGGAAACCAGAACAAGGAACAAGTTTGGAAATGTCCATCAACAAAAGAAGCTTTCAGAAGAGAGTCAGGATGGTATGACTAAAAAGTTAACAAGTGACAAAGACCCACCTCTTATTAATCATCACCTACCAATAAAGAACTTCTGATCACAGCCAACAAATTCCTCCTTGTCTGAAACACAGAGAATGGCAGGAACAGAATATGTGGAGGAGGAGAAAGAGAAGTTTACTTAGAACAGATGCATGAAATTATCTTCAAATCTGCAAGTGACACTCTTTCAGTAGATGTCAGCACAGCTGAATTCATCCTGAATGGCTTATTAAAGAATATCCTAAGCACTCTGCAGCCTATCACATGCCCCAAACTATGCAGAAATACTCTCCAGAATTTTAGCAATACACAGAATATATTCTGTCAAGTATAATTAAAACAAAGAGCTATTTTAGGCTTGTTTAAAGTTACAAGAAAGATATTGAGCCATAGTCAAAACAAATAAAAATTTGTTATACATTTTTAAACATCCCCAAAGAAAACTGACTTAAAACAGGAAACAGATGAACTGGCTTTGGCTTAAACTTGTGGAAATGGTATTCTGCAGGACCTTTAATTAATCCCTTTGTTGGAGGGGGGTTTTAAGTTTCTCCCTGATAAAATGGTTTATTCTGTATAAAATTAGTATTTGCTCTATGGCTGCCAATTGTGTCTGACTGTCCAAAAATCTGAGGAACAAGAGTGAGGAGAACTGATCCCAGTGGCTCTGAAGCATCTAGAACTTATTTAAACTCCTGTCTCTGCTTCCACTGCAGTCTCAGAAAAATTCATATAAACTCCAGGGGAAAAAAATGTTACAAAAATATCATTTTCAAGTTACTTTTTACTAATAGATGTTCCTTTTCACTTATGCAACTCTGTTCTGATCATTGAAGTACTATGTAAAGAGCCACTGTTCATAGAATGAACTAACATATACAACCTTTTCTTCTTAACCTTTTTTTCATGTACATCTTAAAATACAAAGAAAACACGCCAAAATTAATTCCATCTTCTATTAAGTAAGCACTGAAATACGTCAGTAAGTTTAAAAGGAAATGTTTACTCAGGAATATATTCATAAAGCTTAACTACTTTCATTGTTCACTTTTAAATATTTTTCTATGAAATGGAATATCTCATCACTGCTTTCACCCTCAAAATACATCTTATCTTAAAGTGTATCCTGTCAAGTATGCACATGGAGGCACTGAAAGATCTTAAATATAGCTCTGTTTGGCTTACCCAGGAAATAAAAACAATTACCTTCTGAAAGCTCCTCTGGATATTTGGATAAGTGAAAAAACAGACATGAAAAAGTTAAGTCTTTGAGAAGATTGAGTTGGCCATCCACTAAAAACAAGTTACAAAAATGAGGCTTTTATGTCTCTCTTAGAGAAAGTTGTAACCTGGGTAGGTCTGGCAAGGCAAATGAACAACGTACAACTGGGGACTCAGGAACTCGTGGGACCTGACTGTGCTGCTCTGAGGACTATGACTTGTTCTGCAAGTCACTTATCTACATTCTCCCTGAAGATTTTATCTATGAAGACTCCTCTCCACTGGTTGGCTTAAAATGGGGCTTGAGAGAGAGAAATTATAGGAAGGCAACTGATTTGAGCCTCCTCTCTCCTTCGCTCCCAGAAGCCATATGCTGCTGCTCCAGAGGTGCTGCAGCAGCCTCTAGCCCAAGCATCCTCATTCTTTACTCCTCACTGGGTCCAGTGACACATGTCCATCTCCAGCCAGCCCATTGGAGACAAGGGGAACTAAACACAAAGTGTGCTGTTTTCTTTGTTTTCTAGATATCTTAAATATCCATGTTTTCTGTTACTTTTTTTTTAATTGGCATTCCTAATTAGATTATACCATCACCTCCCAGAGAAATTCAAGGTCACATGACACTAAATTCAGAAAAGAGTTGAGATCAAAACTGAAGAAATGTAACTGCCCACTAAGAGCTCTAAGTAACAGAATTAAGCATCATGAATGAGTATCAAGAGTTATTTACTTAGAAGGGCACCTGGGATATAAAGTGAGCTCTGTGCTGACAGCAGAGAGCCCCATATGGGGGCTCAAACTCATGAATTGTGACTTCACAACCTGAGCCGAAGTTGGATGCTTAACTGACTGAACCACTCAGGCATCCCCAAAACTAGAAAATTTAGAAACAACATAAATGGTAAGTAAATAATTTAGGTGCATAGTTCTCAACTCCATATGTCTTAGTGCCATCTTTTTTATAACCAATATTTGTAGCAATCTCTCGATTCTTATGAAATCAAATTAATATAATCTATTGTACACTTAATTTTAAAAACCAATGCAATACTCTAACTGTAATATAAAGGAAAAAATTAAAAAGAATTCATTTATATTTTAAAAATGTGTATTTCAAAATATTAATCCTCAGGCATGACTTCTCTAGAAGACATAAGAAACTATGAATAAGAAACTATTAGATGCTTATACCCACTTATAATGAAGAAGCATGGATTAAAGGAAGTGAAAATATTCCTTATATGAAGTATAGAAAAATAGAAGGGCAAAGTAACAGTAAATTCTGAAATAAAAAGTGCTCTGATAAGTAATGACAGACCAGGTTTACTTGTATATAAAAGGGAAATTGCCTTAATTGAAGTAGGGATAATATACCAAAGCAATTATAATCTGATGAACTGGAGAAAAGGAGGAACTATACTTGGGAGCAGTTGAGTAATGTTAACATGCTCCAAAAGTTTGCCAGTTTTCAAAATACTCTGTGAGACCTATTTCATTACTAATGATGTCAACATTACTCTGATGTTGGTATCACACACTTGGTGATACCATATGTCATCAATAATAACAAATAACATTTTAAAGTAAAAGAAAACAATCAATCAGCATAGATACTTCACTTTCTAGTTTATTTACTATCAGTACGGAGCGGACAGAATGTGTGGAGTAAATTATTCAATAGTTGCAAGGCAATTTCTTTAATCCTGTTCAAATGTCTCTCTCCATAGTGACTGTCTTCTAAACAACTGAGCTTTTCATGTTATGTCTTATGAAAATGTATATCACTATTGTGTGTTAAGGAACTGCTCATTTATATTTGTAATGTGTTTTGTCCAATAGGACATTAAAAATATTATGCAGGATGGTCTCACACACTGCAGGACATCTGGCATTCCTGAGTCCTACCAGTTAAAGGCCAGTGCCCCAAATCAATGTGACAACCAAAAAATGATCCCAAAGAGCTCCAAAATGCCCCAAAAGAAGTACTGGTTAAGGTGAAGCTTATAATATCTCACAATTATACTGTTGAGGTATTTAAACAATTATTGTATCATATCCCTAAATGTGTGTTTAAATTATACCAATATCTGGAATACACTCTTAAAAATCAATACCAAATATTCATTTTTTACTTACCAGATTCAAATGTTTCTTCATCTATGGTTTCCCATGGGGACACAAAAAAAACCAAAAGTGTCATTTTATTACTATCAATACTGAGCCTGTACTTTAACAGATGAATTCCCTGACCCTATGCTTCTGCATACACACTAACTTCTAAAAATCTTTCCTGAATCAAGGCTAAGTCAGTGGTGTCTCTATGGCATATTGAACTTTTAAATGAGATATGTGGTATTAAGTAGCTGGGCTATGACAATAGGCAGGTATGCTGTATGAGGCTATAATCAATAAAATAAAATAAAAGAGACTAAATAAAATGTAAAAGAGGCTCAGAGGGAAGGGAAAGGTAGAATGTCACAGGAAACTCCAATGGATTGTCAGATAGTGCACAGCTTTGCTATTAGAGGGCTTTCAGATGGAGGAGAGATGCACCCTGACTGAAGGTTGGGGCAGGGTAGAGGGTGGGGAGGAACCATAAGCAACAGGAATGTGGCAAGGAGAGTGAGTATTTTGGTTTGATTGCATAGGCTTGTGTAGGTGATAAGGAAAGATTTTATGTAAACCAACTTTCAGTTAAAACAGTTCTTTTTAGCATTTTAAAGAGATATTAAGGATTACGAAACTAGAATGTAGAGGGAGAGCAATTTGAAATATATAGCAACATTACCAATGCTTGTGTCCTTGGATCAGGCAATACTGCATCTAAAGTTTACTCATACCATGTGGAACAATATATTTACAAAGCTATTTGTTGTAGCATTGTTTGTAATAGAACAGACTGGACATAACTCAAACATCTACTGATAAGTGATTATATAAATGCACAATAATTTATTTAACCAATAAGCTGTTAAAAACAAAGGAAGAGGCTCTTTATGTACCAAGATGGAATCATATACGATGCTAAGGAGAAAAGCCAGGGACAGAAGAGTGTGTATAGTGTACCATCAAAAAGTCTTTTTTGTTGTTGTGTTCTTTTTAAAGGTATTTTTAAAAGAATGGTAAGGATGATGGTAGGGAGAGGAGAAAAAATATACATCATCGCTTTTACATGCACAGAATATGTCTAGAGGGATCAGGAAGAAACTGAGAGCATTTATTGCCTCAAGAAATAAAACTGAGTAGAGGAGAAGGGAAAGAGAGGAACTCTATACTTTGGTAGTTTTTGAATTATAAAATATGTGAATGTATTACCTAATAAAAATTGTAAATTAAAATTATAGAAAGAAATGAATATTACTGTAAGTTTTTAGAAACCCGAATGTGTACCTGGCAAAATAAATATGGTGTCAGCATTATTCTGTAGTTGTTCTGGGAAGTATATGTGAATCTTTAAAATATCCACAATTTAAAGATTTCATATTGTTCTTTAATTTCTAAAAACTAGATTAGCCCAGAAAGCCAAGACAAATTCACTTATCTGACTAAGGACTCTCCAACTACTGTCCCAACAATACTCTGGTGATTCTTGAGCCAATCTTCATTATGCCACTAAATTTGGAAAACCTTTTCCCAATTTACAAAAAAAAAAATTAAGTATAGAAATGTAAAAAGTTTTCATATATTTCTCAAAAATTTGGAACCCACTACTATTTATCTATACTAGAATCCACCAGAAGATGGTACCAAACAATAACAAAAACTATATGTCGCTTTTTAAAAATTGGCATTTCAGTATTTTATAGTATTTCACAAAAGCATGGTGGTTTCCAGACATTCCACCTGAATGTTACTGAATGTAACACCTGAGTATTACTGAATGTTCCGGTGATCATTTCTAAGACACTGCTTTCTAGAACACTTAGTGGAAGGTTGGTCTTGGAGCCTGGAGACATTCCCACAGCTGTGCCTCCCTTCCAAGTGCCAGAACCACAGAAAAAGGCAGGCGCAGGGGAATTCATTTTACACATTTCTTCCAGAGGAAACCTGTGGCCCCATTTGGCCAACTCTGCGTCAGAGAATCTACTGCTGAAGTGCTTCATATTCCTCCTGGTAGTAACTCTATCAAAAGGAAATGTTACCTGCTTCCACACACTTCTCATCAATCTTCATGTCATCTTCTATAAAAGAGGACAGTAAGGGAAAAATAGAACTTAAAATGTATGAGTTTCCCAACGTATAGGCTTATGTCAGTAAAACTCAGACCACCTTACAATAATGTTACTCTTACAACAAGCATATTCCTTATGCTTGCTCACTTGGAGAGATAAAAAGGGCTCCACCATATTCAGTGAAAATCTATGGTATAGAAGGCAACATAACATAAAATGGTTAACATTTTAAAAGCATTGGCTTTATGAATGGACAAATTAGTTTACCTCAAGCCTCAGTTTTCTATCTATAAATGGAGACGGTAGCAACACCTCCCATGTAAGTGAGGATAAACTGAGATAGTGTATGAAAAGCTCAGGTGTATGGTAAGCACTCAATAAATGTTAAAATAATAAATAATAAATAAATAATATATATTATAATATATAAAAAATAATGTTAAAAAATTAACTATTTTTACCTTTAACTAGGGTATATATGAGAGAATAAGAGACCATAACTTTTAAAGCCAACCCCACCTAATATTCAAAACCCTCTACAACATGACCCAAACCCAACTTTGAAGGCTATTGTCCACTTCTTTCCTTCACATATCTTATATTCCCATTAGAGTAGCCACCATCAGTCAGTCCTCTGTACCTTTGCTTATGCTGTCCCCTTTGCCTGTAATGCTTCAAGGTCCATCTCAAACATTAACTAAAATGATTATCTCTGCCATGAACTGCATAGCATTTTCTTCCTACTACCTTGAACTCCCTGCTACTACACATCTATTCTAATATATAGGTGTAATATAATACAACCATTTGAGTATTTGTCTTATTTGCCCTCCTAGATAGTACCTTAAAAGCATAAACTGTCTTGCTAATTTTTACATATTTTACAGAGCTTAGTACAGTGTCTTGCGCAGAATAGGTACATGACAAATTATTTATTAAGTTGAACTGAATTTTCCTTTTAATATGAAAATGGTTAATGTAAATGTATGTTTTGAAAAAATAATTTTTTTTCAGAAAGCACTGTACATCTTGTGCCTACCATAGTGCCCAGCACTTCCTAGGTGAGAAATAAATAGTGGTTTAATAAATAAGTCTTATCATGTTCCAAAAGTGCAAGTAATTATCTGTATAATAAGCTATAATATTATCAAGTCACATAATAAACCTATCACCACCTTCTTACAGACCATATCATTAACTACGGTTTTTAAGTAACATATGCAATATAAAAATTTTTACAAAGTAATACTGTTTTATAGAGGTAGGGGCACAGATAAACAAGTAACATAGCTGCCATTCAATTGCGTATAATTATTCAGAGATTATATTTCAGATTAGTATTTTATAACAACAGTGAATTTATTAGTTCCTAAGACATAACTAGAGGTTTTATGTTTTGTTTTTTTGTTTTTTTATCAAAGAAAACTACTATTATTATTCCTGTTTTACAGAGGAATTACACGAGTGAATTTCCAGTAACAGCACAAGTAGCCCTGATTTTTCTAACTTGCAAGCCTGGGATCCAAGACAGACACTGATTTTATTCTCTCAAAATCAACAATTCCACACTATTGGCAAAGGGTATGTGTTATGGGCTGATCTGTATCCCTCTCGAATTTATATGTTGAAGTCCTATCCCCCAGTGTGACTGTATTTGGAGACAGGGCCTTTAAGGTTGAATGAGGTCATAAGATTGATTGGGGCCCCAATCCAAAAGGACAGGCAGTCATCTGCAGGCCAGAAAATCTCATCAGAAACCAGACCGGCTGAACCTTGATCTTAGACTTCTGGCTGTCAGAACTGTGAGAAAAAAAGTGTCTGTTGTGTAAATCACCCAGTCTGTGGTATCTTGTTATGGCCACCTGAGCAGATTAAGACAGTGGGCTTGTAACCCACCAAGACCTCAGAGACCCCGCCTCTCCAAAGACCTGCCCATTTCCAGTTTCAGGATTGAGCTGTGGGGGTGCTTAGGGGAGTGCTCTTCTAGCCTCTCTTCCCCTCCACAAGCAGATAGCATCTTGCCTTCTTGCTTTTGTAAGTGTGTGTGTGGCATCATAATGAGTCATCTGGGTGTCTGGGCTCGGAGAGAGAAGTAATAACTGGAGGTTCCATTTGCCTCCGAAACAGAAGCTTCAATCCAGACTACACTGCCTGCAACATCTGGCAATACTCTTACCTTCTTTGGACTTCAATCTTTTCATCCATAAAATGGGAACAATCACGAATTCCTTACAGGGTTATTTTTAAGACAGTGTGTGTAAAACAGCTGACACAAAACAGCAAGCCAGTTTCACAACTTTTATTGAATTTTTACCATGTGCTGCATATAAATGTTATCTCTATTTTCTCCTATTCCTCTCAGTGTTAGGACAATTACATCATGTGTGCTTTCTTTTGACTGACATCTTTTGACAAATTAAGATCTTAGTGATTGGAACACTACTAGGTATATAGGAAGAGCTTAATAAATAGCTAAACTGAATTGAAGTGAATTAACAAAACTATACAAAAGTTCTACAAGACTTTGGAGATGAGGGTTTCTTTTTTCAAATACTATTTCTTACCTTCTTCCATAGAAATTGCTGGATACAGACAAATAATGAAAGTGGGGAAAAAAAGAGAGAGTGAGAGAGAGCACAATAGTTAATGCTACAGTTTTTCAGATTAACTTATAATAAGAAAAGCAAAGTGCCAAAATCATTTAATTAATGTTCTAGGCTTAATCTATAGAAATTTGGTAGAGATTTAGTAATGAAATGATAAATACGTATCCTATAGAAACTAATACATTTATGAATCTTGTTGGAAATGGGGATTTTGCTTCTGGCAAATCCCACTCCCTTCCCTCCTTAAAGGTCTATAAGGGTTGTGTTCTATTCATTTCTGAATTAATGCACTTAGTTCAGAATATTTTAGGAACTCAAATCTTGACTGGAATAAAAGGGAGAGAGGGAGGAAGAGAGGAAGGAAAGAAGGGAGGAAGGAGTGAAGGAAGGAGGGCAGGAAGGAGGGAAGAAAGGAAGGGGGAGGGAAGGAAGGAAGGAGGAATGAAGAAGGGGGAGAGAGGAAGGAAAGAAAGAAAAAAGACAGAACAGCGACAACTTAATTGTGTGAGCATCTTTAGTAATATATTTATGATAGCCATCTGCAAATTTTTCAGTAAGTCTTGTTAAATAAAAGTGCCCATACCTCCTAATAACCTGTTCCTGAGATTTTTCCCCTCTATGGTAACATTAATCAGAAAGATACAAAATAATACTTATTACAGCATCATCTAAAACAGTTAAAAAGAAAAGGAATGATCTAATAATTTAGAAACTGAACATGCTCCATGAGAAACAACCCTATGAAAAGTGACCAATTAAGTCAGTGGCTCCACCCTTGAAGTTCCTGGACTTAGAGATTTGTGAGTATAAGAATAGGGGCTACAAACCATATTTCAGGATGGGCTTTTCCAAAAGTCTAATGTAAATCACACTTAGGCTACAGGAGCCAATTAAACATCAACTAGGGGTCCTACTAGTTACCAGATGCTGATTAGAAGCTTCATTAGTGGGGCCCCTGGGTGGCTCAGTCAAACACCCGACTTTGGCTCAGGTCATGACCTCATGGCTTGTAAATTTGAGCCCTGAATCGGGTTCTGTGCTGACAGCCCAGAGCCTGGAGCCTGCTTCGGATTCTGTGTCTCCCTGTCTCTGCCCCCCCCCCCTCTCTCTCTCTCTCAAATAAATAAACATTAAAAAAAAATTTTAAAAAGAAGCTTTATTAGCATTTCAATGTGCCTTTGAGAAATGAAATAGGAAACTGAATTAAAGAAGTACCTCAATCTGGTTTGGTAAAAAACAAAAAAAAACTTTTTCAAAACACAAAGAAATAACTAAAATATCACTATAAAGATCACATCATGAAAAATGTTTCTGATAAAATGTTAAGTTAAATAAAAAAGATAGGTGCACCTGGGTGGCTCAGTTGGTTAAGCATCCGACTCTTGATTTCCACTCATATCATGATCTCGGGGTTCTTTAGTTCAAGCCCCACATCAGTTCTGTGCTGACAGTGCACAGCCTGCTTGGGATTCTGTCTCCCTCTCTCTCTCTCAAAAATAAATAAATAAACATTGCCACTCTGAAGGAATTATAAGAGAGTTTTCTTCTTTCAAAAATGTCTCTATGATTGCCATCATAAATTTTCAAGAGAAAAAGAGAAGAAAAACTAATTTTGGGCTTAGACCAGTAATAAAGTAAGGACTTGCCATGGGCCAATTGGTGACACTGACACTGTTGTCTGCTTTAGTCCCCTTGCAGCCTCCCGTTCAGGTCCCTCTCCCTCCCTCCTGGCACCCCCAACCTTACTTCCTTTCGGGGGGGGGGGGTGGCCTGGTGAGGGCAATTTCTGAAAGGGCCTTGCTCAGACAGTTCCAGCTGAGCTCTGCCAAGCTGCAGCCCCTCTTTTCAGGTGGCAAGTAGTTCACAAGCTTTGCCACCATGGATACCTTTACTAACCATTCCCCCACTGCCGTTTGAATATTACCATCTAGCGAGGAACCTGCATTGATTAAGTAATAATTCAGTCCCATGTTTATTCATCAAATGCACACACGACTGTTCATCAGAGCTTCTGAATAGTGTGAAATTTAACCCCCCTGTATAGAGCCCACATGAAGGTTTGTGTGTGCAGCCTTGTTCACCAGCATATGTATAATGTATAAGCTAGCTGTAAAGACCTCGAGGCACTCAGAGTTGGGGGGCCATCACAGAAGGTATCACCGACACAGGAACATTTGCATTTTTATAAACTGAAAAATCTTATAAATCCAAAGGCATGAAGGTGCAGAGTAGGATTTCAGATGGCTGCTAGGAGCTTATTTGGGCAGTGGGGACAGTCAGAGATCCTCTCTTGGGCAGGAAGCCAGCCCTGGGAGAGAAGGAGCAGGCTTCCCCATGATGCACACGCTGGGTTTGAGGTATCAGCACACTCACATATGATGGATTTGAGGTGGGTGTGAGGCTGGTATGGCTGAGACCACCAGAACTCCCGCTGCTTCCTATGCACAAAGAAATACACCATGAGGAAAAAAAAAAAAAAAAATCAACTCAGGTTAACTCAAGTGAAATAGATCCAGTGCTTCTTAGAATTCTGCTGCTTCTACCCAAGTGAAAAGGGAGATTTCTTCTCCAAACACATTGTCAAATATTCTCCAAATATACAGGTTTTCTTATCACGTTTTTCCTGTCTTACAGGCTCCTTTCAGAGCAACTCTTAGACTGAAAAACCTGGCTACAGGCCCCAGAGCTTCAGCGACTGACCCATTGGCCCCTGCCTCTCCAGTGGGTAAGCCTGCTTCACCTGGTCTCTGAATCTTCATAGCATGTTCCGGTTCCCCTCCCAGGTTGTTGATGCTCAATCCCTTAGAGCCACGTGGATTTCAATTCCTTCTGCATCCTTTATTTGTGCGCTAATCCAATAAGCCTGTCATTTCTATGGGCTCCTTGCAAGACCCCTACCTGAGCCTCCTCACTGCTTTCTGCCCTGAGACCATAAGGACTAACCTTGTAAAGCCTTTATCCCTGTTTATGTCAGTCCCCCAAAGCTTGGGTCATCCCTTATCCTCTGCATGTTAATCCCTGTAAGGCTCTGTCCACCACCCACCTTCCCTGAAGCCCTTTCACACACCCCATGGAAGTCGAAGTCAGTCTTCAACAAAGCCTCCCAGACTTCAGCCCCTACTGTGAGTAGGTGAGCCCTTCGCCCTCTTGCTCTAACCAAATCCCAGGTCTCCTGAGGGAACTGCTCCCCTGCATCTTTTAAGAGGTGGCTTGTTTCCTCTCCACTGCCAGCTGTGTGCTGGTAAACAAGCTCTGGGGGAAGGGGAATAGCTGTGTTGAGTAGCTTTTGCTGATTTCTTTCCTGCTGGCTGATTTCCCCAACCATGGACATGAGGAGAGGTGCATGTTTTCATCATTCTTCCTCTCTCTTTCCCAGCATTTCTTTACCCACCCTCACTCTCAGCTTACAATATTCCTTCTTATTTCACTGAGACAATCAGAGAACTTCCACAAGCTCTTGCCATATCCTCACCCTCAACTATGTCCACACAGTCTGGATTCTCTGCTGTTACTATTACTGTTTATGATCCTGTATAAGGCCAACGCCTCTACTTGTATATGGTTGACCTTTAAGCAGGCCCTCTTATACATGGATTTTTTCCAATAAACACAGTACAGTACTGCAAATGTGTTTTTCCTTTCCTTATGATTTTCTTATTAATATTTTCTTTTCTCTAGCTTACTTCATTATAAGAATACAGTATATAATACACATAACATAAAATATGTGTTAATCCACTGTTTATATTATTGGCCAACAGTAGGCTATTAGTAGTTAGGTTTGGGGGAGTCAGAAGTTATATGCAGAATTTTGACTGCATAGGGGGTCAGCACCTCTAACCCCTGTGTTATCCAACTGCACTAGATCATGTCTCCGTCTGTCTGCTCAAGGACATTGACAACAGCAGTTCCTTTCTTTTTCTCTGTCATAAAAGTTTTCCCTCTCACTGGATTGTTCCTACGAGCATTATGTACCTCATCTAAAAAAGTTCTTTCCCACCACTCCCCTTTCCTCTCCAGCTACTTTCCCATTGCTCTGCTCTGCTTTGTACTAAAATGTCTCATGCCATAATTTCGTCAAATTGCTTTTATGACTGCCATATTGCTAAATCCAATGGTTAGTTCTCAGTCCTCTCTATAGCAGCTGACGTGGTTGGTCAGACACTATACTGTCCTGATTTTCATCCCGCCTCATTGGTCACTCCTCAATCTCTTTTGCTAGTTCCTTTTCTTCCTCTCGATTTCTTAACATTGGCTGGGCCTTGGACCCTTTTCTATTTTCTATCTTTACTCATTCCCTCAGATCTCAAGGACACACAGATGACAGCGTGGGTTCAGATTCAATAACTGATGTTTCAATTCAGGCCTGAATGATTAATAGAGGGAGTTAGAACTATCTTTTTAAGTTTGAGTTTCACAAGTGCTTTTCTCTCTTTTCTAGATGATACGATTTTTCTGGTCTCCTGAGTATTTAAAATGCTTAGGGCATATGGATAAGTTGACTTTTGGATTTACAGACCAGTGTATATGTTTATCTATCTGCTTGTCATTCTTTACCTAATCTTAACTACAATAACAGAAGCCTGAGAAACATTTTATGTCCTGATAGTTCAGTCCTGAGTCCAGGAGTAAGAATTTCCTTACCTCTTCAGAAGGTGGTTAGAAGGAATTAGACCAGCACAGGTACCAAGGTCTGAGATTTTCCGGGCCTGCCACCAGAGGGCATCGTTCTGGTCCACAATCTGCAGGATGTCCCCTTTCTGAAAAGGCAACCCTGCATCCGTGCAGGGGATAGTAGGATCCTCCTGGGGCCAGTACTCGGTCATGGCACGAACATATACCTGACAGTAGGTACAAAATGGTCCCATCAAAAGAACCCTTGCCCATGGGCTGTCAAGACTTAAAACCATTTCTCTACTCCTCTACCTACTGTTACTATCTTTCCTCCCCATACTCTCCGAAAGGGGAACCTGCCTCTTGAACTGAGTCTAAGATCCACCAAAAAAGTGACTTTGCCAACAGAATCTCTTAGTACTGAGAAGTTTTTGCTCAAGTGTTTCCCATTCTTGATATTACTTTTTAACTTCTTGTACTCCATCTCCTTTTATTGTATTCATTTACTCATTTGCCTCTCATGTCATCAATATTGAAAAATGTCCAGAGCGCCTGGGTCACTCAGTAGATTAATCATCTGACTTCAGCTCAGGTCATGATCTCACGCTTCATGAGTTTGATCTCCGCATGGGGTGAGCTCAAGCCCTGCTTCGGGTGAACACGAGCCCCATTTCAGGTGAGCCCTGTTTCTCTCCCCCCCCCCATGGTATTCTCTCTCTCCCTCTATCCATCTCTGCCCTCATTCACTTGTGCTCTCCCTCTCTATCTGTCTCTCAAAACAAAATGTGCAACACAGTATTGAACAAATGTTCAACACATTATAGAGGAGGGTAGTATGATACAAAATATTAAGTCACTATTATTGTTATTTGAGGATTTCCTATATGTGATTATGAAGGCTCAGTATATTCTTACCATCTTCTGGCTATTAACAGGAGGGGCAGAAACTGGAACCACCTTGAACATAATTGTACCACGAGACATAGCCTAGAAAATGTCAAAGGGGAGGGGGAGAATAACAAATCACAGAGTTCACTGGGTTATGACATTTTAGCAGATGGAGTTATAACACAATGTGCCCAGTTTTAAGGGTGACATCCCCCACAGGGACTTTTACAAGGGTTCAATAGCTAAATATCACCATGCAGAAGTGGAAATTAGGAAGAAATTTAGCTCAGCTTCTGCCCTGCTATGGGGCTCCAGAGTTCCTGGCCTGCTAAACCCCACTCCGAGGCCTGGCCTCCCCCAGGAACACTCCATCTTGTGACCTTATTCAGTAAGGTCTTCTTCCCACAGACACTGGGGAAGGAGATGAGGTCCTGATCTGACTTTCCCTCCTCAAACTTGAGTCAGTAATTACTTCCCGAACACCTGTTCCTGTGCCAGGCAGCCCAGTCTGATGGGGAAGAAGAGGGCTCCCAAGTCTTCTGGGGGGATGGACAAGCTCTAAGCTCATGGTGGTAAGGGGGTCCCTCAAACATTTTGAGAAGACAGAGAACCTATTAGACTGATGGAGAAGGCAAGATCCTCCTGTCACGTGCACTGTGGCAGGTATTAGAGATCCAGAGAGGAACAAATGTCCCTCAGAAATTTCACAACCCCACCATCCTGGCTCTGAAGCTGGCACCAAAATGGCTGAGGTGGAGCCATGTGTGTCTGCAACTGACAGTCCTTAAAGCTCATGTGCAGCATCTTATAGCATGTGGTTTGCACAATGTTCTGGTGCTTAGTATATTCCCTATAATCCCACCTCTCACGTAGTCCCTGAGGTACATCTATGAAAATTTAGGGTTCCCCCCAAAACTCAGTTTGAGAACCACTATGAGAAATAGTAATCCATGTCAGCCCCCACACTTGGGGTGTGCATGGGGGAGGTGGGGGGGCATACCACTATGGCTATGACAGCTGGACTGTGATTCAGGCAAAGGTTTGAAAAGTGGAAATGGGACCTAAAAGAAACCTAAACCATAAACTGGTCATAAATCCCCAGTTTCAACCACCAATGACAGTGGGCAAGACAGGCAAGGAATTCCCCCTCCCATAGGGTAGCCTCCCCTGACATCTTTTCTACCCCAAAGCTACCTCAAGGAAGACGGTGAATAGATTTCAGCTGTATAAAAATGTTAGGTGAGCAAAGGTAATTTGCTCAGGTTCAGACACTCCTCCAGAGTCTCACTCTGGCCACCCCAGCTTCAGTTTCCCAAGGAGCAACTCAGGCAACAAGGAGCCTGGGCTGGGGGGATTGGCAGAGCCTTACTGAGGCCAAAAGAGCAGCTTGGCAAGAGAAGTCTCCCAGCAGAAACAGAAAAGGTCTGGGGGTCTGGAGAAAGGACCAAACCCCCCTCATGTTTCAGCACACACACCATGGGCCAGACAGGCTCAGGTCAGCCACAGCATTGCACTGAGTCGTGGAGAAGGCAAACAGAAGACTCTTACCAGAATATGGATCACTTGCTCAGGGTCCAGTCCCTCAACTGAAACTCCATTCACTTCCACCAGTTTGTCTCCAGCATATAACAGCCCTAGGCAAACAGGAACACAAAACAAAGGAAGATACAAGGAAACTGGCAAAAAATAGAGGTAGCTGTACCAAAGATTTTTAGCAAACTCATTAAGCCAAGCATGCTCTAACATTTAAACATTTACTCTGAAATAATAACAATAATAATACAGGCTGGTTATTCTGGAGTACACCACCACCAAAGCACAGAGAATCGCATTTTATACCTCTTTACTGGGTATTAAGTGATGGTGATATTTCTATTTCTGCTAATCTGATGCTGTAAAATGAAGATATCATGAGTAAATGATAAATGAAAAGGAAAGGGGAGGGGCATTCTTCAAAAGAGGAAACGTGGAGAAACATGGGGGTTAAGATCAAGCCTTGAGAAGTATGAAGTAAACAGTGGAGTTGTCGGAGGGAGAGGTGAGAAGCAGGATGACGTTGTGGAACAGAAACCACGGGTGATGAACACTTCAAGACAGTTACGGTCAATGACACCAAATGTTCTAGAAAGTAAAAATAAAACTGAGGCCAAAGGAAGGGCCAATGGACTTAACAACTAGGAAATCCTGGGGCCACTGCTCTAAGAATGTTGGGGTATGAAGCCCATCCCGTCTCCAAGGCCCTGGGAAGTGAGGACATGGGGCAGCAGGCACGGAAACACAGCCGTGAAAGGAAGGAAATTCAGTTCACTGGTAGAAAAGGCAAGCAACAGGCATTTCAAGGTGGAACAGAGCCTTGTTGCAAGCAGAAGGACCAGGTGAAGGGAGAGAATTGGGACTATAGAGCGGACAGACCCGGACTTGCATCCTGAGTCTAATTGAAAACCGTGCATACATTAGTTACTTAATCTCTTTGAGCCTCAGTTTCCTCTTCTGCAGAATGGCCTGATAATACTTAGCTTGGTAGGTTACCACAAGAATGGAAACTGAGAGAACATTAATATGGGGCCTCAGTGAAGGAGGGAAACAGGATTTTCTGGAATATGTATTCCCTCCTTCCTAGTAACCAATGCAACGCACAGAAGCCCTGACCTTGTTTAGGAAAGCTGGGTTTCCCTGGAAAGAAGACTAAACAAGTAATGGTTTCCTATTTCTCTGGTCACATCCATACTCTGCTGCTCAGCTTACCACTTCTCTCGGCCAGCCCTCCGTGGATGACTCTGGCCACCAGGATATCCCCTGTCATCTCGTGGCGCTTGATGGTAGCTCCCTGGAGAAAGAGTGCAGTGGAATCCCTCTTTTACCTAACATGACCATTTTTCTGGTGGCTTCCCTCAATATGCCTCTGGTCTGGTCAGAAGAGGATATTTATACCAACCAGGGCCATACCATGCCATCAAAAAGACAAGGCCATTCATTCAACCTTGGCCTATCAAGGTCTCTATCCAACCACATAGATACAAAAGAATATTTAGATCCTTACAAAGATAAAGAAAGCTCTCACCATTACAACCTAATCAAAGAGACTTCTTAGAAAATCAAATTAATGCCTCACTTAGCTTCCCATCATAAAGAGAAAAAAACTTAGATAAGTACATTGGAATTTAGTGAAATGTATGTACCTCAGAGAGCCAAACAACACATATAATAAAATAAAATAAGTCTTATTTCTCACAGATTTTTCAACAAAGAAAAACACTAAGCAAAAATCTTTCCTAGAGAAAACATGATAATGTATCATGTGTTTAAAGCCACAGGCAAAAGTTGCTAGGACATGCTTCAGCCATTATCTTGGATCCCCTCACATTTTCTGAATGCCTCAAACTATACTGCGACTAGAGACAAGAATATTTAACATTATATTAAATAACTACTAGAGACAATAGAGTTCACAATCAACCCTTAGTTCATAATTAACCCTTGGTTCACAATTAACCATGGTATAATTCTAACGAAAAGATAAAGTGATTTCCTTACCAGGGGCTGTTGGTTTTTCACCAAACAAACAATCCTCATTGCTTCCTCACTGTCAGGGATGTTGTCTGGCAATGGGGGGAGAAGGGGCTCAAAATCTTTCTGAGCCACGGTGTCATGGGCACTGAGCAAGGCCTAGGAACAGAGAAGGCAAGGTGAGTGAACGTCACACGTAGGACATACGCATTTAGAAGACAGGGAGCCAATACTCTGTCCAAGACACCGCCACCATCACTACTACCACAACAACCAACACATACACACTGGCCTTTTATGTGGATTAACTCAGTCTTCACCATAACTCTGTGAGGCAGCTATATTTATTGTCCCCGTTTTAAAAGAAGCAAGGCAGGGAGAGGTTAAGTGATACATAATATATTCTTGCATTTCTGCTAAAATGTGTTTTGTCACTTCTCATTTCCTGCAAATCCATGTAATCCATGGTGCTCCTACAAGCTTGAACTACAGAATAACTTTTGTAATATTTTCTCTAATTAAAGCAGAATGGGGGATAGTGATCAAAACATCTTGCTGGTTTAGTTTGTCAGTGACTCCCAAGGGCCTATGAGGAACAGAATGAGAAAAAGTAGCTTCCTGATTTAGGGTATGAGCAAACAGTTCCTTCTAATGGCCCATTTTGTTCAATTTTTATTTCATTGGGTAGGGAAGTAGTCATTTGATAGCCCAGCCTGAGATTGGAGGACAGAACTTCACTGGAACTCAGAGAAAATTCTCTAGGGTTATCTTGTAAACTAAAAATTTGACTTATAAGTTCCATTGCTCCAAATGCAGACCTTCTCTTAAAATTCTCATCTGTTGATAAAATGATCTCAAATTCTGTAAGTGCTATGAGATAGGTTTCCATTCTGCAATCAAATGTTTTTTTAGTCAAATGTTATTCATATACCTCTCATTGAGTTTATCATCCTTATACAATATTTTCCAAACATCTTCATACACTTTATCCAAAACTTAAAATATTTACAAGGAAGTATACTACCCTGATTGTCCCCCAGAACTTTAGAGGGACAATGGCCTTGGAGGGGGGCAACAAGACACATGGAAAGTTCCAGATGTCTCCTCATAACTCTGGCAGGTTTAGCTCCATGGCTAACAACACAGAGCCAGTCACATCTGAGTCCCACATCTTTAAGAACAATCTGTTGGTCACCCGTGTGCAGTAATAGAATGTCTATTCAGAAAGTGCATTTTCTGTCACATTTATTTCTTCTTCCCAACTTTGCTTATGCACCAGATGGGCATATCTTATCTATTTTAGTAAGCACTTGCCTTAAAATGTGGAGCCTGGAGGATTTGTCTCAGTTCTTGGGTCTCAGGGGATTTAGGAGTTTCACGTAATATCCCCACTACCTGGTTGGTAAAAAAAAGTGTACACTGTAAAATTTTTTAAAATCTTCATCACCTAGTTAACCTCACCCAGGCTGGATAACAGATATAGCACATTAACCTAAGACAAGCTGTTATTGAAATCTTTATTTTCATCTTTAAAGTTGGGGCCCAGAATCTTTCCTTCATCATTAAACTTTACTACAGCAAGTTGAATTCAAGATTTGGGGTAGATCTAAACTTCAGTGCCCCAGTCCTGGCATATTACAGGCTTGGAGTAAGAACTAACATGATTTTGTCATATCATATGTACCAAGGCAATTTCCCTCTAGTGGCGCTAAAACTGTTTGTTAACATGAATGCTTTATGGGCAGGTTAAGGAACCTGAGTTCCCCAGGTATTTGAGCCCAATCCTGTGGATGTTCCATCAAATGGAAAATGGGAATAGTAGTTTGTATTTTAGGACTTACTATTTCATTACCAATTTTAGTGTTTACTGCAATAAAAAATGTTAAACAGAATAAATTCTGATCTCTTTTCCGTGGTTTAGGTGTAGACCTGCTTTCTGATAGGACATGAGACCTTTAAAGACTTTACAGAGCTCTATAAATTCTCAGCAGTTGAGCCTCATTACATACAGTCAAATGAAAATAAATAGTTTACTAAGCTTTACCTCCGTTCACTACAATTACAACAATAAAATATCATATGTGTGTTTTCCTGGGAATAACCGAGAACAATGTGAATTATTGATTACTGGAGTGGAGGGTAAAGTCTTTCTTTTTTTTTTAATATTTATTTTAATACAGTTTGGGCAATAAATAATAAAATAGATTACACTTTTTCATCCATTTGATAAATATCTATTGAACATCTACTATGTGCTAGGTACTGTTTTCAGTGATACAAATACAGTGCCAGACAAAAATCCCCATTCTCAAAAAAAAAAAAAAATCCCCATATTTTTTTTTTGATGGTGATGAGAGTTAAAAAGATAAATAAAACAGGAAGGTGGACAGGGAGGGGTTGCAATTTTAGGTAGGGTGACCAGAGAAAGCCTTAGTGCGAAGGTAATATTTCTATGGAGACCAGAAGGAGATGAGGAAGTAAATCATGTGAGTATATGGGCAAGAGCATTATTGACATATGGCATAGCAGTGCAAAAGGCCTGTGGCAGGTGCATGTTGGATAAAACCACCACAGGGGTTAATCTGGCAGGAGCATAGTGAGCAAGGGGGAGAGCAGTGAGTGTTAAGTCAAAGAGGGAATGGGAACTATATTATGTTTGACTATCTAAGAACTGTGATGTGTACACTGAGATAGGGAGTCATTGGAAGGTTTTAAGCAGAGAAGTGACATGATTTGACACCCCTTTCAAGAGGAATTCTTCAACTACTATGCTGGAATAGACTATGGGGATGGGGGGGGGAGGGCAAGAGCAGGAGACCAGGGAGGAGGCTATATTGCAGTTATCTGTATACGAGATGATGAAGGTTTCTATTATGTGGCAGAGTGGAGGTGATGAGATTCTGGATATATTTTGAAACTGGCCCTGAAGAATCTGTGGTCAGATTGGGTATGAGGTATGAAAGAAAGAGAAAGTCACAGATAACCCCAAGGAGTTTGGCCTGAGTACTACAAAAACAAAGGTGTCATTACTGAGATGGAAAAGGTTAGGAGAGAAGTAGCTTTGGGTGTGGGGACCATCAGGAGCTCATAGGCCATGTTAAGTTTGAAGGGTCCATTAAACATGCATTTAAGTACAATGGGGAGAAGGCAGTGGGTATAAGAGTTCAGGCAAAGAACCCCGCTAGAGATATAAATTTGGGAAACACTTCTATAACAACATTACCCAAGGATTACATGGGAAAAACTGAGCCTAAGATTTAGGAGAAAAAGAGAGAAATGGACATATGCTTAAAATGCCATTTGTTTGTTTGTTTAATTTGAAGTGCTGGCTAATTTTCTCCCTTCTATTAAAGCTCAATTAGAAACACTTATGCAATACAAAATCATCAGTCAAACTCTCCCATTAGGTCCTTAATTCATTTAAATTAACAGTGCAAGTAAAATGGCTTCACGTTTAAAGCCCTATTCTTCTGTGGATTAAAAAACCACCTTACCTCATAGGATAACGTCTGTGCATGAGTTGTGGCAGGAACAAGTTTCTTTTCTTTAAATTCCTGGAGACAATCATAAACCTGCAGAAGGGCAACGGTGGGAGAATGACCTATTGATAACGTGACTATTAATGTTTCAGGCTGAAAGGTCTGCAAGGGGAGAGACAGGCCGGGCCACGGTGCAAGCAGTTGAGTGGCTTGTGTGACTGGCCTTTAATAAGGTGTCTCTCACTGTCTAACAGATATGGGCTCAAGTTTGGTGGTTTCAATGCTTCAAGGGCTTAATTACTGGCCGCCACTAGAAATTGGTCTTCCCCAGCCACCATCACTGGTAAAAGGAAATTCAAACTTTTACTCTTGCTATATTGACAAGTGGGTTTTCCAGGGTTGGGACCAATAGGGATTTGAGGCCAGAGACCTGTAAGAACCTCTGTGCCAGGGCACCGGCCATGTGGCTTGGGGTTCAGCAGAGCGTGTGAACAAGAGGCCGGGCACACTATATGTGCTTATTGCTCTCTGTTCTCATCTTCCATTTGTTTCCTCTTCCTCTCTTAATTCTCCATTAAACCTTCATTTATAAAAATTTCAACTTCGCCTCTGCTGACCCCAGGAATTTTTTCCACAGCAGGATCTACAGTTGGCTGAGTATGCCCAGGCATGCTCAGCTCTGCAGTGAGGCCTTTCTTATTTTAGGAATCTGGTTTCTGTTACAGGTGGAGGGATGAGGCCCAAGAGGCCAGTTAGGCCCAGCCTTCTACCATCTAGATCAGGGATGACAGTGCTTCCTCATGCCGCCCCTGTGCCAAGTGCTCAGGTTTACCCGGAAGACACAAGGCTGATGAACTGAGGCAGGGCACATGGGGAACACACCATCTGCACAGGTGAGCAAGGGAATCCCTTTAGTGACAGGAAAACTCCTGCTTGAGCTTAATCCCAAGAGGAAAACATGCCTGATAGGAATCAGGTTGGGCTTTTCCTCCCAAGTTTTCATGAGAAAACTGACTGACGGGTAACATGGTGTGAGTTTCAGGTGCACAGTATTTTGAGTTGATATACGTATGTGCTACAGAATGATTACCACGGTAAGGTTAGTCAACATCTGCTTTACCTCACATAATTATGATTGTGTGTGTGGGTGTGTGTGGGTGTGTTAAGAACATTTAAGATCCACTCTCTTAGCAACTTTCAAGTATATAATACAGTATTATGAACTATAATCACTATGCTGTACATTACACCCCTAGAAGTTACTCATCTCATAACCAAGTCTGTACCCTTTGACCAACATCTCCCCATTTTCTGCAGCCCCTGCCCCTGGCAACCATCCATCTATGAGCTCTGCTTTTTTAGATTCACATAGAAGTGAGAATATATGATGTTTGTCTTTCTGTGTCTGACTTATTTCACTTAGCATAATGCCCTCCAGATCCATCCATGTTGTCACGAAAGGGAGGATTTCTTTCTTTTTTATGGCTAACATCCCATTGTATGTTTCACTTCTGGGTATATATTCAAAGGAAAAGAAATCACGATCTCAAAGAGGTCTCTGCACCCCCGAGCTCACTGAGGCACTAGTCACAATAGTCATGACATGGAAACAACCTGAGTGTCCAACAATAGATGAATAGATGAAGAAATCAAGACTTTTAAAACAAGTTCTGTGAGTGTACCTCTTTGTTCATGCTAAAGATGTTGCCACTTTCTCTTATTTTATTGTATTCATTTTTAATTTATTTATTTTGAGAGAGCAAGAGCTGAGGAGAGGCAGTGAGAGAGGGAAAGAGAGAATCCCAAGCAGGCTCCCCACTATTAGTGCAGAGCCCTACACTGGGCTCGATCTCACAGTTTGTGAGACCATGACCTGAGCCAAAATCAAGAGTGGGATGCTTAACTGACTGAGCCACCCAAGCACCCCACCATTTTCTCTTATTTTAAATAATATATTAACAAGCATCAGAAGATTGGCTACATTTCACACTTAGCTGAAGGACACACCCACATCCAAAAATTAACTTTAAGAGAATCTTTCTTAAAAATAACATTTGAACAAAATTATAATTAGATAGTAGATGTTATTGTACAGTGCAAGAAATTATAGCCAAAGTTAAAAGAAGAAGAAGAAATTTTCAAGGTAAGAAAAATTTAAGATTGGGGTGCCTGAGTGGCTCAGTCAGTTGAGTGTCCAACTCTTGATTTCAGCTCAGGTCAGGATCTCACAGTTTTGAGATGGAGCCCTTAGGCTCAGCCCAAGGAAGACTGCTTAAGATGCTCTCTCCCTCTCCCTCTGCCCCTCCCCCACTAGTGCACGTGTACAAGCTCTTGCACTCCAGCGCATGCACGCTCTGTCTCCCTCTCTCTCAAAAAAAGAAAGAAAGGAAGAAAGAAAGAAAGAAAGAAAGAAAGAAAGAAAGAAAGAAAGAAAAATTTTAAATGTCTAAACAGAACTGCATATATCTCATTTCCTGATTTTAAGAAACAGGAATAATTTTTTTAAAGCATTTTTATTTGTACTGAGTTTTAGCCTCAAGGACAAAGGGTTGTAGACAGATGCTAAAGGTGCTGATGGCCATTTGTGGTGGCTGCTTTGTGATCCCATGGTCCTCTGGACGAAAAGGAACTAGGAGAGAAAAGAGGAGCTGCTGTATACTTCCCCACCTAAATTAAATTCCTTCGTAAGCTAATAGGTTTGTGTAGCTCTTCTCTGAGAATTGCTGTGATATTGTGATTTATAATAAGAATTACATTATTTAGTCTGGCCCTGATTCTGGCTCAGAGCTTCTAAAACCCTTGGAATTTCCTAAGCAAGGAAAGTGCTCTTTTTTTATGTTAATGAAGTCACTTCTGGAATGCACCTAAGGTTAAGGGCAGGTTGCCAGGAGAACTAACCATGTAATTAGACTGTTGGAATTTTCAGTCCCACCTCACCCCCACCCCCTTCCTCCACCTCTAAATCTCGGGGAAGGGAGAGTGGCTGGAGGTTGAATCTACACCCAGTGACTAATGATCTAATCAGTCGTGGCTATGTAATGAAGCCTCCAGAAAAGCCCAAAAGGACTGGGTTTGGTAGAGCTTTTGGTTTGGTGAACATGTGGAAATCTAGGGAAGAGTGAAGAGGGAATGGAAGCTCTTCATCCCTTCCCCAAGTCTTGGTCTATTTATTTCTTCCATCTGGCTGTTTCTGAGTTATATCCTTTTATAATAAACTGGTAATCTAGCAAGGGAAACGTAGCAAATTAATGGAACCCAAGGAGGAGGTTATGAAACCTCTGATTTATAGACAGTTGGTCAGAAGTACAGGTACCCATCTTGGCTTGTGACTGATGTCTGAAATGGGGGGAGGGTACAGCAGTCTTATGAGACTGAACCCTTCACCTATGCTATCTCCAATAGGATCCAATGCTATCCGATGCTATCTCCAGGTAGTGTCAGAATTGAGATGAATAGTAGAACATCCAGTAGTATCCCGAGAATTGTTGTTGGTGTGGGGACGCCCACCCCCATGTTGGAAATTCTCAGAACACACATAAGAATTGGCCCTCTAAGAACATTTGCTAAGTTGGAATTTCCTGACAACTGACCAGTGGCACAGCTGGGTAAGCAGTTCCCAGCTCCCACAGTAAGCAAAGGCTTCCGGGTAATGAGGTGCTCACCTTCAGCAGAGCCTGCAGCCACGGCGAATGGAGAAGATCGTACAAGAGACACACTCCATTCACATCTCGGCTATAGAACAGATTCAGCTCTTGTAGCACAAGCCTCAGGATCTGGGAGAGACCTGGAAAAGGGCGAGGGCAGAGATGGGGTGGTCGGTGTGGGTGAAGAAAGGCAGGTGTAAGTATGAAAGACAACTCAGACAGCCGGGATGTGCCCTAGTGACTATGGAGGAAGGAGATGATGCTGGATTTAAGGCCAAAGACTCAGGTTTCAAGCCCTGTTCTATCACTGTGTGAGCTTCAGAAAGTCACACGACTATCTGAAAACCAGTCCTTGGGGCAAAATGAGAATATGCTAGCTTTCCCACTGGGTGTTGCTAGCTTTCCCATAGGGTTGTTGGGAACATTAGATGAAATAATAGATCATAGTATATACAGATGTAGGGTTTTATGAGAGCAAAATTGCTTTCCCTTCCCTACTTTTATCAGCCTTTGGTTTTTTCCAAAATTATCTAGTTGTTCTCTGGATCTTCTTTCTCAAATTCATACATAGTCTTTGTCTTCACCCTTTTTGAGAGTTCTTATTGAAAATGTGATTGAAAAACTTGGTCCATAGGTTTTTAATACAAATCTCAGGATTCCACTGATTAAAGAAACTGAACAGATTTTAGTGAATGCTTGATTTTTTTACAAATAGAAACTATTTATTGTAGTGATATCTTGAATGTGAACAAGTTGTGAAGTTCTAAGTTTAAATAAAACACTGGGAGATTAGAGAAAAAAAGAGGTTCTAAACTCACTATGCCAATTTCTTTCCATCCTGACTTGAAAATTGCTTACACTCATCACTAGTAGGTGTAGTAGGACACTCTAAAGTGTACAACAATGTCCTTATAAGGATCACAATAAATCTGGGGCACCCGGGTAGCTCAGTCGGTTCAGGTTCCAACTCTTGATTTTGGCTCGGGTCATGATCTCACAGTTCATGAGATGGAGCCCCAAGTTGGGCTCCATGCTGACAACAAGGAGTCTGCTTGGGATTCTCTCTCCCTCTCCTCTGCCCCTCCCCTGCTCGCACTCTCCCTCTCTCAAAAATAAATAAACATTAAAAAATAAAATAAAAAAGAATCACACAAAATCTATCAGAATCCCTTTCCCTAAATTTGATCTCATATTTAGAATGATATTATAAGGCTTTTCCAGTCTAGAAAGGAGTCCTGATACCACATACCATTCTCTGGATTGGTGGCCGTAGAGGGCTTCATGTCCTTCTTGTCTGGTGGATCTGTGCCTTTGTCTGTCTGTATCCCTCCTCCCTGCACAAGCTTTCAGAAGGAATTCGGAACTGGGAGCAGACCAATAGCTCGCAGCACACGGCTCACTCAGTCATGCTGGCCATGCAGCTCTCATGCACTGGAATATATTTTCAATAGCATTTATATTGAGCAAGTCAAGCACTGTGCTATACTCTGGGATCCATATCAAAGAAAACACTTGCCCTGTGGAGCTTACTCCCTAAATTAACCCCTATGAGAGAACACTACAATTTCATAAAACAGTCTTCCCACTCTTCTCTTTTTTTAGCAAGTGACAAACAAATCTTTGTTTCTTTCCCTTCTCTTTGCCAAGTTGATTTTACCATCCTTCAGAGCCAGAAGAGGCTTCCCTGGCTTGACTCCACTCAGGTGCCCTGTTCTCTCTCACTGCACCTATAGTTCTTCATGGTACTGATCATAATGGCAAGAGTCATGGCTACTCCTGAGGCATAGTCTCAAAGGTTGTTTTCTACGTTGCTTTCAGAAGGTTTATTTTCAAGAAAGAGAAACACAATAGTGGCAAAACAGGGTAGAAATGTATATCTTGCTTATGTAAAAATATAGAGGCAGAGAAAATTCAGGACTGGTAGGGCAGCCTTGCTCCATGAAGTGCTCAGAGAACGGTCTCCTTCTAGCTCACTGCTCTGCCACCCTGGGGTGTGGTATGGTTTTCATTTTCCTGTTCCAAAATGGTGGCTGGAGCTCCAAACATCACTTCTACATTTCAGCCAGCAAAATGGGGATTAAGAAAATAAGGGCAAAGGGGTCATGCTCACAACTTCAGAGAAGTTGCCTTATATGATGAAAAATCACCTGGTATAATTTTCAAACACCTCACTGGACTTTGATGTTGCTCAAAACAACAACAACAATGACAACAACAACAACAACAACAAAAACTGTATAATTATCAGAGCCTAGAACCCAAGTTTTCTTTACCTATAAACACAAAGTATTTTTGCATAATATACATTGAATTTTCTGAAATGGTATTACTGTAATTGAGAAATGAATTTGCTTTGCTTGGACTTTATCAAGTTGCTCACTATTTCAGAAAATCATGTAAATAGTGCTAAGGCTGCTCATACCATTTCGGGTATCACAGTGACACACCACACTATCTGCCTTTATCTGTGTCTGCATTCAAAGCTGCTGCATCCTGGTGGATTTTTTTTATAGGTGCAAACATGTTATTTCATTATATATAGTGATATATATGGTGTAGTGATATTCCAGATTTGTATATTGAAATATACAATGTCTTATTGACTACATTTATTTAATGTCTCCTTTTTATTATTCTTAGGACATGATATAGATGGATTTTCTTTTTTTGGGGTTGTGTGTAAGTAAGTGTCTTATTTTGGGTTTCCCCAGAATCAGACACAGACAAAGATTCTAGTGGGATGATTTGTTTGGAAAGTGATCCCAGGAAACACCAGTAGTAGAGTGGGATATTAAGACAAGGTAAGGGGAACGCTGTCGACAATAGCCAAAGTATGGAAAGAGCCCAAATGTCCATTGACGGATGAATGGATAAAGAAGATGTGGCATATACAGATGTGGCATTGTGGTACAATGGAGTACTACTCAGCAATCAGAAAGAATGAAACTTTGCCATTTGCCAACTATGTGGATGGAACTAGAGGGTATTATGCTAAGGGAGATTAGAGAAAGACAAATATATGACTTCACTCATATGAGGAATTTAAGATACAAAACAGATGAACATAAGGGAAGGGAAGCAAAGGGAAGCAAAAACAACATAAAAACAAGGGGTACAAAACATAAGAGCCTCTTAAATACAAAGAACAAACTGGGGGTTGCTGGAGGGGTTGTGGGTGGGGGAATGGGCTAAATGGGTACGGGGCATAAAGGAAGACACTTGTTGGGATGAGCACTGGGTGTTATACATAGGGGGATGAATCACTAGAATCTACTCCTGAAATCATTATTGCACTATATGCTAACTCGGATGTAAATTTAAAAAAATTAATTAAAAAAAATAAAATGTGAACGATGACATTTAAAAAAAAAAAAAAAGGCAAAGCAAAGGGAAAAAGTCAGTGAAAGGTGTACCAACCAAGGAAATCCTTGGGAAAATATAGGACAAGACAGTGGGGATACACCAACGCTGCCAGTGATTGGTTGGGAGCTTTTCCTAGAGAACATTAGTTCTTCCAGCCTGGGCACATGCATACTTTCAGATAGGGGTACAGGTGCTGGCAGTTTGAAGTTACCTGAGCAGGGGATGGCTTCGGGTGGCTCTAAATCAGCAAGCAGTTAAGCCGCCTGACCTTGATTTTGGCTCAGGTTGTGATCCCATGGTGAGTAGGAGTCCCGTGGTTGACTCTGACAGCATGGGCCTCCCTGGGATTCTCTTCCTGCCCCTCCTCCACTCATGCATGTGTTCTCACTCTCTCTCTCTCTCTCAAAATAAATAAACAAAAAACACCTCTGTTTCCTTCCTTCTCATTACGCTATTAAAAAAAAATAAATTAAAAAATTAAAATGATGTTGAAAGTGCACCAAAATTCAAGGACTATGTGGGTAAGTAACAACAGTATTTAATAAAGTAGAGAATAAAGGTAAATCAGATTCTTTAGCGAGGATTTCAGGGGCTTCTGGGTGCTCAATGGTTGCTGCCTGACTTCAGCCAGGTCACGATTCAAGACCGAGTTCGGTGGCCCCAAGATCGGGCTCTGGGCTGATGGCTCTCCGAGCCTGCCCGGGATTCTGTGTTCTCTCTCTGCCTCCCCGCTCATGCTCTATCTCTGTTCCCAAAAATAAATAAATGTTAAAAAAAAATAATAAAAAAAAATAAAGAAGGATTTCAAATTAGTTGTTAGAGACTGGGATATTGCATCTGATGTGGTTGAGAACTTCTGTCCAGAGTTAAGACATTGTGGGGTTGAACCAGGGAGGCCATCTAGAAAAAGATCATCATTAGGTTGTCTCTAAATTCCAAGACAGTGAGGGGCGCCTGGGTGGCGCAGTCGGTTAGGCGTCCGACTTCAGCCAGGTCACGATCTCGCGTTCTGTGAGTTCGAGCCCCGCGTCGGGCTCTGGGCTGATGGCTCAGAGCCTGGAGCCTGTTTCCGATTCTGTGTCTCCCTCTCTCTCTGCCCCTCCCCCGTTCATGCTCTGTCTCTCTCTGTCCCAAAAATAAATAAACGTTGAAAAAAAAAAAAAATTCCAAGACAGTGAGAACAGCAACACGGAAAGCTGTTATGAGATTTTAGACAACTTTCCCATGCACATTCTTTCCCAGTCACACTAAAGTATTCTAGTTTGCTAGATTCTAAGAAAACCTGAGATCAACATGTTTCGCCATGCCCACCACCACCCACCCTGCCCAGCCCCAAATGAGTTAGGTTAAACCCTGTCCTTTCCCTGTATTCTAGTTTTTGAGCCTCTATTGAATCACTTAGTTCAACATGTGCATGTATGACTCACCTTCCTCCCAAGATGGGAGCACGTTTAGGGTAGGGAACTGAAAAGAAAGATGGAGCATCTTCCAGAGAAAAATCAGAGCAAACAGATGGGTCTGGCACCAAGCCATCATATTCAGGCAACTGCTGAAAACGCTACCCGAAGGGTGCCTCACAAATTACATATCCTTAGAGAGGCAGCGCAGATTAACAATCCAACTGCTATTCATGTAGGGTGGACCACATTTCTTCCATATTTGATGCCCAAAAGACAGTGTGCCAAACTAGACCTATCTATGCAGCAGCTGGGGGCGCTAGACAGTGCAGTCCTGAGATGAACTTACTGTGAAGGAGATTTACAAATAAACTGGTTTCTGTAGTCGTTTGATTAAGAAAGCTTCCAATAAATCTAACTCCAGTGTTGCACAGATAACTAATTGATATATTCTAAAAAGCTCATGTTGACTAAAATCTCCTCACTCATGGAGGTATAAACAGTAATTTTCACCTCCACAGCTTGGGTGAATTCTAAAAACGTTGCTTGCCTGGTCGTTGCTAGGTTCCCAAGACAAATTTGCTACGGACGAATTGTGTTCCCCCAAATTCAGCTGTTGAAGCCCTAACTCCACTGTGATGGTATTTGGAGATGGGACCTTTGGTAGATGATTAGGTTTAGACGAGCCCCCATGAGGGCATTAATGCCCTTGTACAAAGAGACACCAGGGAGCTTGCTCTCCAGTCAGTCTCTCTGCCAGGTGTGGACACAGCGAGAAGGAGGCTCTCTTCAAGCCAGGAAGAGGGGTCTCACCAGAACCTGCCCATGATCGCACCCTGATCTCAGATTTCCAGCCTCCAGAACTGTGGGAAAATAAATCTCTGTTGTTTAAACCACCCAGTCCCTGGTATTAGCCCAAGGTAAGACAAAAATTCATAGAAAAAAACCTCAGAAAATGGTTTTCCCTCTCTCTTTATGGCTACAAAAACTGTTGTGACACTTCAGTTCACAATCTGCTTTGCAATTCTCTTACGCATTAACCTGTTCAGTGTCCAGCTCCTGTGTGGGTCATGTCTGCAGAGGGCCTGGAGAGTGGACCTCGTGCTTTCTGGTTCACTGCTAAAGCCTCAGCACCTGTAACAACACCTGGGCTGTTATTTCCAGTTGTTGAGAAGCAGAAAAATAGGAGGCCAAAATACGGAAGTACAAGGCTGATACCTTCCCAAGCAGTTCAAGAACAGCTGGGACGTTAGTCCTGAGGTGGGAGCTGCTGGACTCCAAAGGCCTCCCCTTCCTCTCTTCCTCAGCTTGGCTATATTGACTTCAACCTCTTCCCCTATCAAACTTTGAAATTGGGGGCCGAGACCTTGGGAGATCATCCAAAGTTAACTTTCATTTTTCAGATGAGGAATCTGACATTCAGAGGGGGTATTCAGTAGAGCTCACAAGTAGTAAAATCAAAAGGTTTCCTCTTTTGTTTCCAGGACTAGCCCTGAAAAATGCTAGTAACTGGCAAAAGACTACATAATGCTTCTCCCTCGCTTTTTCGTGACTTCTGGACCAACTTTGTAGTTAGAACTTACTTATTTCTGCTGTCGTGAGAACGAGAATTCTTGATTGAGGCTGCAAGTAAATAGCCAACCATATGCAATTCTAGACTAAATAAGTAACAGAGGAAGGAGCACCAGTTCTTATTAACTGAGAAGCTGCATTAGTGTTATTGACTCATAAGGAATTTGCCTCAAATATTACTTTAAAAATCAGTATTTCCATGAACCTGAAAAAATGTAGTGATTACTATTAAATGCCATTCCCTCTACCCCATTAAGCTCATTTTTCAAAATAATGCTTCCTAGTAGACCAAACCTGAGAAAGCACTTGAAAACTTAGTAAGTAATGGCCCGTACAAAAATGGCCCAGCTTCCCCAGGGTCAAAATGCTGTTGGCTAGCGCTAGGACAAATGCTCAATTTTACTCAGTCTACATGACAACTCACTATTCCATACTTAAGACATGGTTTCCCAAAGCAAAATCTGCTCTTTCAAAATCACAGAATTCACCATATGATTTGGGTTACAATGAAACCAAACTGTTTGAATTACATTACCCAGAATTTTCTTCTTAGTTATTAAAAATTAACAGAAGCACAGACATTTATAGATCTCTTCTGGTAACCGAGAATCATTTGGCAGAGTCTCTCACCTGTAAGACTGCAAACATCCAACGTTGCTCCTCTCCAGAGAAACGCTTTGGTAGAAAATACACTCGTGGGCTATTAGCTGCCAAAGTCACCTCACTGTTCTAGAGAAAATCTCTGCACATCCTCTTTGATTTAATCCACAGAAGCCTAACCCAGCCTAACCACTAAATTACTCCTAAGCTTCCCTGTCACAAATCTTTAAGCATTCCTTGTACTGAGAGGTGTAACATACCATTTTCAACATTCGCATTGATACCCTCTCTCAAAATGCCAGCACAGTTAACACCAAAAAAGTTTATTTTTGTTGACTATAGCACGATAACAGACACCCCACAACAGCATCTTATTTTTGTAAGTAGGCTTCACGCCCAGCATGGATTTCAATGCAGGGACTGAAGTCACCAACCCGAGATCAAGACCTGGGCTGACACTTTACTGAGCCACCCAGGTGCCCCCAGACAATAGCATTTTTAATGAAAGAAAAAAAAAAAAAAAA